TAGGGTCTCTATATGCCCTCCCGCCAATCAAGGCGTCCAAGTCATTTACCAATGATGGCAACGATACTACCAGCGACCCCATCAGCCCCTACGCTCAGTCAGAGAATGCGCTAGAGAAATCTGACAATGGATCAATGGCTGCTTCTCCCTCCGATGACCTTTCATCTCAGATGTCACCTTTTCACATCTGCCACTGTTCCGTATCAGTGGTTTCCAGCAGACTGGACACACCAAAGAAATCCATTTTCGTCCGTGCCTGGAGTCGCCTACGAAACTTCTTCTGTATCAAGAAGGTGGCACCTCTGTAGACTAGCACGCTGAATAACACCATAATATCCCAACCTCTACAAGGAGCACAGTGCACGGATGGGCCTACGGCAACATCACATGGCACCCTGCGAGTGAGTGAGTTGTGTTTAACGTTGCTTTTAACAGTATTCCTGTCATATCGCGGCGTGTCAGCTTAATGTGGGAGGAAAGCCCCAAGTGATGCAGGTCTTAGACGTTTACCACTTCGGCTGATTCTGACGTCGTCTATCACTTCTGTCCAAAGAGTCCCACAAAGAGGCCAAGGCATAAAATTCACGTGGTTAGTCTGCAGGAAGTCCCGTGAGATGCGTGCGGTGTGACTTGCATTGGCGTTGTCTTGCATTGGCGTTGAGGTAAGGGACAACATGCTGAGCAAGAATCTCGTCTCTGTAGCGCATCGCTTTCAGATTTCGACGAATAGGAACAAGAGCTGTACGATGACCGTGTGCAATTCCAGCCCATACCATTACAAATCCAGCTCCTCCAAAACGATCTCTCTCAGGAACACAAGCGTCAGCATAACGTTCATTCATCCGTCTGTACACCCGATGTCTGGAGACATCTGGAGTTTGGAGAGTGAACAACAGGATCATCACTGAAGAGCAATTCCTGCCATTCACGTGGAGTCCAGCGCAGATGCTCACGAGTCCACTCTCGACATTGACGTCAATGACGTTGGGTAAGAACTTGCCCAGCGTATGGCCCCTTGGCTCCCAGACCATATTGTCGCAGCCGATTGCGAACAGTTTGAGCACTGATTCTGTTGTTATGAGTTCCTTGAGTGGTCTGTGCAGTAACAGTTGCTGGGAAAAAACGATTGCGTAAATGTTGCGTCACAATACAGCGGTCTTGAACTGGTGTTGTTACACGTCCACTTCTCGGACCATCATTGGTTACCCCAGTTGCATTGTAACGCTTCCTCAGACGTTGTACTGACCTCGCGGACGCACCAACTTGTAATGCAACATCTGCAGTACGCATGCCTGAGTGCAACATTCCGATGGCTCTGTCACGAACATAATTTGGGGATTCTTGGCATTTATTTTAAAGGTAAACGTGGGGAAAAGAATGTAATTACGGTGTTTTCTCGTGTGTTCTAACGATTGCCTTCAGTGATAACCAGTAACTCAAACATTCACGCACACAACATGTTACACGTGCGACGATCGTGTGTTTTGCATGTTTTTAGGATTGTGGTTGTAACGTTTCATAATGCTCAGTTAACTGTGCGGGCTTGATACCCGAACACGCTTGTCTTATCTATCAATAATGTTATCGCAGAAAAATATGGTTCAGTTGAGTCATTTTAAAAAATCGTACGTTTCTTTTTTGGTTCAATATATATACATGATGAACAAGCTGCTCTTCATCTTTTTCAACCGAAGAGTTGCCAATATGCTATAACCACGTGGTCATGTGTCTCCTGCACAGCCATTTGGTTCCTCTCTGACGACAACCATATACTCAAAATGGCATGCTTTACGTGTATATATGATTCAGTTATCGTTTATATTTGCCAACAAATACGAGTTTTCTGTCGTGATACGTTGGTGTATGCCTACAACCATGTTCGCGGTTTCGCTTTCCCCTTGCCTACAAGCACATTTATGCTTTCCCCTTGCCTACAAGCACATTTATGCTTTCCCCTTGCCTACAAGCACATTTATGCTTTTCCTTTGCCTACAAGCACATTTATGCTTTCTCTTTGCCTACAAGCACATTTATGCTTTTCCTTTGCCTACATCCACATTATGCTTTCCCTTTGCCTACAACCATATGTAATTTTTCCATTGCCTGCGGCCATAAGCATGCCTTACCTTTGCCTACAACCACATTATGCTTTACCTTTGCCTACAACCACATTTAAGCTTTCTCTTCGCCTACAGCCATACAATAAGCATGCTTTACCTTTGCCTACAACCACATTATGCTTTACCTTTGCCTACAACCACATTTAAGCTTTCTCTTCGCCTACAGCCATACAATAAGCATGCCTTACCTTTGCCTACAACCACATTATGCTTTACCTTTGCCTACAACAATGTTGTCAAACCTCTTTATAGTCATTCCATTTGATGTTTCTTTCAGAAGTAATTTATCTGAAAATTATGTTGAATTCTCACGATAAAAAGAAAGCAAGTTATATGAAATTGACTTACGCTATTGCAAATGATTCTGCATGCAGTAATCTCAATAGAATGATTCTTTGCAAACTCATATTTTAATAAATAGTATGATTGTATGAATGTTGTGTTCTTAGAGTCTTGCATACATTGAATAAATATTTTTGTTCAAACAAAAATCAGTTTCGACGTTTATATATTTGTCATATCTATATAATAAGTGCACTTATATGTGCTACAGTCTTTTTACTTTTGTTTTACTTTATTGATTGGAAATCAGTACACGAGTTAGTGTTCGTTATTTAACGCCACATCCAGGAATCCACAATATCCCCGCTATGTGACGGTGGCATGTAAATATTCGAGTGAGTCACCGAGTCTGACAACCCGATCCATTTGAACGCCTCATACCTTAAACATTTGTTGCTGGCGACTGATATTCTAACCAGGAATTCTCACGGGTCATATTGGAACTTGGAAAAGCCGTTTAAAAGCTCTATATTTAAACTTTCAACATTACCAAGATCCAAGTCGGGGCATATGGTTTGAAGTGAACCCGAGTTCCTTAATGAAGTTGTTTGTTTGTTTGTTGTTTGTTGTTAAAAGCCACACTCAGCGATATTCCAGCTATATGACGGCGGTCTGTAAAAAAATCGCGTCTGGTCCAGACAATCCAGTGATTGACGTCATGAGCATCGATCTGCGTAATTGGGATACGATGACGTGACACGCATCAACCAAGTCGGCGAGCTTACGACAAGCATGGGTTGCTGAAGACCTATTCTATACACGGATCTTCACGGGTCCCTTTTATGGTGCCCCCGCCGTGATGTTGCTGCATGGGATTTTACTAAAAGCGACTTAAAACCATACTCACTCAGTCCTTTATAAAATTAAATCATTTTGTGAAATGTGACTGGGCGAATTGAGTAAAACGCCTCTCTCTGAATAACTGGGGAAACACTAACTTTCTCGATTAGCGGTAGAATGTCTGCCCAAGAGCGAAAGGTCGGGGGTTCCATTCCCGCGGCCGCGTCATACCGAAAGATCTTGAACGATGGTACTTATTGTTACGTTACCCTGTCTGGCGCTCGGCATTCATGGGATAAAACAAGAACTGTTCGGCTCGGAGTCTGTATACTTTGTCTGAGTGGGGTATTTATATTAAACTGTGGCATTGTATCTCAGTGGGCTAGCACTATGAAATCGACATTAGTCCGGACTAGTACAAGCAGCAACACGCACACGCACGCACGTGCAAGCACTTCGCTATATAAGTGCAAAAATCTTGAATGCGACGTTGCAATTAGTTGTCAGTCCAGCTGCCTGTTGTCTTTGTGTTCACTGCACGGTTCGGTGTCACAAGGCTGGTTTATTTTAGGTTTAAGGGTGTTAACTCTTTTGGGGTTGATCTATTTTATGTCATTGTTTTTGGTGTCTCAACAATCGCCCAGGCCTAGCTTCTTAGTTGATTGGACCTATTTCCAATATACATCTCATCCGCCATGTTACTAATTAGCTGCTCCACACTGCCACTGCATGGGGACTGCACACAAGATTTGTTTGTTTGTTTGTATGGTGTTTAACGCCGCACTCAGCAATATTCCAGCTATATAGCGGCGGTCTGTAAATAATCGAGTCTGGACCAGACAATCCGGTGATTAACAACATGAGCATCGATCCACGCAATTGGGATCGATAACATGCATCATCCAAGTCAGCAAGCCTGACCACCCGATCCCGTTTATCGCCTCTTACGACAAGCATAGTCGCCTTTTACAGCAAGCATGGGTTGCTGAAGACTAGAATTGTCCAACTCAAAGGTTAGTTATTATACATTTTAGTTATCATATACATTGTAAATTAAATTCTCATATAAATCATTGCATGAAATAGGTATATTATAAAATAAGTTCATGATAAACCTATCGTAAATACATACACAGTATGTCTTTTAACTTGTATGAATGTGCGTATGGTTTGTTTTGTGTGTTTAGTCTGGTCAATCTGGGCTTGGGACTGTTATAGTCAGTTAACTCCTTTGTCTCGGGAAGATGACAGTATCTATAGTCGGTTTCATTACCATGCCATGACTTATTATACGTGCCTTTATGTTAACTTTGTTATTATATTGTGTAATTATTGTTAATACAGAGCGTCTTCTACTTCTATTGGAATAAACGAATATCAACCCCACAACCCGTAGCCTGTGGTTTATGACTATCCAATGGCTGCAACATTTATTTGATAGGAACTAGCCTTTATTAAAATGAACTAGTGATGCAAAGTATGTATGTAGAATCCCTGCATGGACCACTTCTATATTTAGTGTCCTTGATAGTTTTAAATATTTTAAATATATTGTACTAATAATAGATATATTAACTACTTCGTACTAATTAAACCAATATTGACCAAACATAAAATTTTAATGTAGATTTGTTCTTCGGACTAATCAAATTTGAATAATTAATTGATGGCGCGCTTGGGAAAAGTTATCAGTCGGTATCTGATCCAAGGGACGTAATTAATGTCGTTCTTCATGAAAGAAGGTATGAATCTTTAGAAGCGTCATTGGTTCAAAATGGCGGCGTTCTGAATATAATAGAAGCAGTACGAAGAGAATTGTGTGGTGTTCTTCGTTCACAAGGGGTAATTTAAGCGTTACTTCGAACTAGTATCACGAAAAATACAACTGCACATTTTCATTGTGATTTTTAAAGCGGATGCACTCACTCCAGTTGTTTTTCCCATGCTTCCGATGTTGGAAACGTGTCTCGACAAATCTTTTTGACAGTCAACGACGAGTTTATTTAAGTTTGAACTTTGCTCTAAGGTCTGTCAAAATGATGAGATTGCACTAATTGCTATTTGTTTTTTTAATACCTTGAAAATAGGTATGACTGATTCTGATGTTGTTTCTGGTGACGTTTTGAACAGGTGAAATGCTGGACCAACATAAAAACATGAGAAAGAAATCAGGTTGAAGGAAAAACGTGCAGTTATATTTATTACAGCATTTAAATGATTAAGTGTTGTTGTTGAGATTGGTTTATTACGTACATTAAACATAACGATTTTAACCTTCAAATCATGGCAGAGTAGAGGCCATATTTATATATATCGATATATCTTCAGTACCCTGTTTTAGAGTGACACCTGTTTTCAAACATCCATATTGATCGTGATTTGTCGCGTTATAACAACAGCTGTGATGTACTCAAATGTGCCCACTTCACCAATAACTCATCATCAATAACTCTACGTAATTGTGTTATATTATTTCCATAATACACTTGTAGAGACATATTTGTGCAACATGCAGAAATCCATGGTCCACTGACAGACCGCCATGCATACGAGTGACCCCTCTCAGGTGGTCACTTGAACGCGAGACGGGAGACCCATCTCGCGTACACGTTACGTCCTCTACTGTTCACAGTGCACACATCAGACCTTTCAGTACTTGGTTCATGTGAAGTACAGAACAGCCCATCGTCATTCATGTTGGTACCTGTGTCATGATGAAAAGTGAAAGTAAAAAAGTGTAAAATACTCTAAAATATGTTATGATGTGACAAATATTCATATTGTGGGAATAGGTTTCAAACTTACAATTTCTTTTGGAGTTTTAATACTGACCTGCAAGAATCATGATGAGAACTGTGTGCCATACATAGCTGTTCATTCATGGAAACCCTGCTAAAGTACCAACCAATCAGGTTTCAAAACAGGTGATGTCACTCGAATGGAGTGAAAGTTTACAGACGAGGCAATGGAGGTCATGCCTTTTATCAAGAACTCATTTCCTATTGGGATTTTGCTGAATGTTCTGTTGAAGACATCACATACCAACTATGAACATGAATTGAAGATTTGATTCTTTCATCCCTCGAAATATTTGCAATCTTGTCAAACTGCAAACTGTTAAAAAATAGGGTGTGCAAGGATACTTGATGTGAAACATTGTTTCCATAACATTGGCTGTGCCATCAACAGACATACTGGTCCTATTTTCACTGTAAACATGTTACCATGGTGAACATGAGCTCATATTTTGTACCCAAGACATTTGCTTAATTCTGCATACAACACCCTTTTGGCATGTCTGGTAGACAATTATTACTCTATTCTAATCATAGTTAAAACCTAGTATATGGGCAACATGAAAATGATGAGATCAGCATTGGTATCCACAGACCCAGTCCTCCATAGGAAAGAATAACAAGGGTCCATATACAAGCCAAAATTAGTTTCTCAGTTGGAAAATCATTTGTGAAGTTCTTTTATAGCTTTTACTCATGGTAAAGTGAAAAGCCAATGCAGTTCACTGAAAAGGGCAAATGAAACGTCTTTCCAATCACTGTGTTTGTCTGTTTTTTCCTGATCATGCTGATTGTGACCATCACTTATTCTGTTTTTGGCTTCAGTGAAATGGATGACTTCAGGCAGGTGTATGTTCGTCTCTGCAAGGACAACCATGTAGAAGCCCAGGACTGTATTGTTGAGAAACTGAAAAGGTGCGTGAGAAATTTACTCATTGATATATTTTATCACCGCAATCAGTTGGATCATTTGTGATGAAATGCATTATTTTGCCAAGAACCATTTGCCTTGTTTCCAAACCATTGTTAACCCAAAGCATATAACATTAATTCCTCCTTGTTTGGGATTAATTTGGAAGATTATCATGGTTTAAAGAAACGATAGTAGTAGCCTGATCAAAATGGCAAGTCGACATGTAGATTGCAACAGCACTGAACAATGATGAAACATCAGGAATTAATTGTCAATATCTGCTCACCACCAAAAGAAACGTGAACCATAGAAACACGGAGAAGTATGTAAGTTAACATGGTGTAGAACAGATGTTTCCAATGTGTATCAATTAATGACAAACCTAACAATCAGTCAGTGTTACCACGGAGTGTCTTTATTCTTGTTCTAATATGCTGCACATTATTTCCCAACTTTACACACTAGTCCTGCATGAGACAAAGGTGCATCTCGAGTCATGGATCTATGACGTCACATGTGCTGCGTTCATGAGCATCGGTTCACACAACAAACTAGTATGTTTGTTTGTGCATCAAACCAATCTGCATAATCTAATATCTCTTGAATATGAGTAATTCTGTATATAATAACCAACATGTATGGTATTTGCATTTCTTTTGGTATTGAGTATAGTTAGTAATTGTTCAGTTGCAAGCCCTTGTAAACGGTAGTTATCATTTTATCAACATTATCATGATTATACAAGTCTGCTTGGTCTTATTGCATTGCATAGAAAATATGTCTGCCTGTTAGCATGGTTAGTGTTAAATCAGTTGGTGTCCTAAAAAGATTTATCATTAACACAAGGCTTTAAACAATTGTGTTATTAGTATTAGCATATATACATAACAGAATGTATCAGTCTTCTTCACTGGCACCATTTCTGTATATTACAGTTTGACTCATGCAGGCAGTAAGGGGCGGACAACTCTTGATCTCTCTACCAATAGTCTTACTCCTAAGTCCTGTGCTGTCCTGGGAAAAGTCATTGCACCTGACAGGACATTTACTGAGTACAAGTTTGCTGACTGTATGCTCAGTGAGGATGGTAGGTTTATTCAGTTGCTAAAAGTTTAAACTTATTGTAACCATGGTAACTGAATGTTATTACATGCTTGTGTTTCATCCGCGTCCTCATCATACCTGAACATGTTAGAAGATTGTACCTCTTTTTACCCTGCCCGGTGCTCGGCATGAAGGGAATAAAACAAAAACTGGTCGTCTCAGAGTCAGTATGCTGTGTCTGGGTGTGGTATCCATGGCTGTGGTAGGGCGTCTATTTCGGCTAGCACTATAAAACCTGGCACTAGTCCAAGTTAGTACAAACAACCACTCATACACACATGCATACATGTCACTATAAAGGTGTGATAATCTTGAACATGAGGTTAAACCCCATTTCACCTCTCCTCTTTGCTTAATTGTATCCAAACTTCAGGGTCACAGTTAGCTAAGTTGTTAAACATTGGTCTGGTATAGTACACTTCACCATGTAGGTCCCTGTCCTGATTTTTTTTGTAATTTTACTGAAATTGTCATATAAACAATCTCAACTAATCACTCAAAGAGTCACTTTTTCAGAATTTACAGAAGCTTGCTTTACCACTTCTTCCCGAGGCAAGAGAGTTAACTGACTTTAAAAGTCCAGTTTCCACCCTTGCCGAACTAGGGCTGGAGTTACTGGGCTCGATCGTAGCACCACCAGTGGCTATTACAGTTTTTTTACCAGTTATGTCCCTTCTAAGCCTCTCATATGGACCAATCAGATTCCACCTCTCGTATCACTTGCATTTGCTTCAAACAAAATGGTGGCGCCCAGTCAGGACGATCTGATCAATAATCAATATCTATATTGTGATAAAACGGGTCTTACATTGCGAAATGCATCAAATCACGTGAGCACCTTGATTAAAAACATGATAAGATTTGGAAAATATCTGCTTACAACGAGTTGGTGGTGCACATGCTTTGCAAATCCTGCAATCAACTGAAATCTGCACGACAGTTTACAAACCGGATTTCCATGCGCGATTTTGATTGGACTATGCATAGACTCGTTAGTCCAGCCAAAATGTAACTCCATAATACCAGCCAAGTTTGGCAAGGGTGGAAACTGGACTTTTATAGTCAGTTAACTCTCTTGCATCAGGAAAATGGCTCTAGCTATTAACATATCTAAGAGGTTAAAGAACGGAAAGATATCATGTTACTTTCCTTACAGTGCTGCAGATTTAATTTTATGTTTAGATATATTTTTGACAACCACTGTAGGGATTCAGCAGCCTATGCTTGTAAGTAGAGGCTTCTATCGAGTGGTCAGGCCTCGACTTACTTATTTACAGGCTGTTCTCATATCATGCATATAGCTGGGACATTATGAATAATGTGCTCTGAACAAAGCAGCATTGAACAAGAAACAAATTATTCGGACACACTGTTTCTGGGTAAAATATGTCATTGTTTATCTCTGTCACTTTCCTGCATATACCTTATGTAATATATTGTCAGTGTTGTGCCGTCAACACCATGATACTTTATGACTAAGTCTGCTTACTTATATTCCTTTCATGAAGCTCTCAAGGGTCTGTCGCAGGGATTCATCCACAATTCCTACTGTAAAAAGCTGGATCTGAAGGTAGGAAAAGAGATATAATCTAAGCCATATTTAACCAAATGTTCATGTTACTATGAGACTATTACAGTCAAGTCTCGTTAATCCGACACTCGTTAATCCGACAATCGGCTTTATCCGACACTAATGATGGGAACCGATTAAATCAGTGCTATTTAGACCCGTTAATCCGACAGTCTCGCATTCCGACTCCGACACACCTAATTTGCAACGAAATACCGAAATCACTCATTAATCAGTCTCGTTAATCCGACACAGTGATCAGCGTACTCCGTGGTCATCTGCCCGCGAGTACACAGCCAGTGTTTTGATGCGAGGCGAGTCGTCTGGTAGCTGCATATTACAAAGCTGCAGTAATAAACTTGCTTAACAATAAACAATTAATGCTTTAAATAAAGAAAACAGGATAATTCACATGCTTAGATTACCACAATCTTATTAAAATCAGATACAAGTTCTCGCTATCGACGAGGACATCCCATTACAAGTCACGTCAGAACAACCTTTCGCGAACTATGACCTACAAATGAAATGACCAACAGGAAGTCGACATTAGCCACTTAGAAAGCAGCTTTCTTAAGCTTTGGGTACCAGTTTCAAAGTTGCGACTTCCATTCCAGACTATGCTTTTTAAAGTATTTTGAATCTGTCAAACAGTCCGTAACAGTTGTTTTGTGTTACACTTTAGAGGTTGAATGATTAGAAAACATATTCCGCCAACAATTTAACATAACAATATAAATATATATTTTATATTTTTTATAACGTGTTTGAATCCTTATCTATCATGTAGTTGTCCGATTTTCGATCACGAACGTTGATACTACTAAATTTTGTTTATCCGACATACTTGTTAATCCGACACAATCATCTGCAACCATCGATGTCGGATTAACGGGACTTAACTGTATATGCTGAGCTTACTAGACTGAACTGAATTTTACTTGACTCTGGACTAGTGGCTAAAGTAGCCACTGTGGTTATTGTAACTTATGTCCATACTGTTGATGTTGATCATGTTGATGTTGCTGTTACCATGTTTACTGTCGATATTGCTGTTACCATGGTTACTGTTATCAATGTAACCATTATTGATATTGATCTCCAGGGAAACAACATTCGAGGTGCGGGAACAGAAGCACTGGGGAAGCTACTCCGACAGAACCATTCCATTGTCAGGTAGGAACTGTAGGAACAGTAGCATCAGAACAAATATCCTTCAAATTCATGATGTGAGTGTATGGATGAGAGTAAGCTTGGTCATTTCCTGGCGGTCATCAATGTAGAACTAGAGGCTCCAATCCTGAAACTTCATGTGATATCTGATTGTATCATCTCCCCACGGGATTGAACACAGCAACCAGCTGACATCATGAATATGATTACGGTAATTGTAAGTTTCAAATACAGAGTACTTGTAGATCAGGAGTGAGTGAGTATTGTTTTACACCGCTTTTAGCAATATTCCAGCAATTTCACACATGTACACGTGGGGAATAGAAACTGGGTCGGCGTGAAACAGCGTGGTGAGCGATCGCTTTAACCACAAGGTTACCCAACCGCCCCTGTAGATCAGGAAAATATTTAACATATAATCATTATGTATTCCAAGTACATCGAACCATGTTAACATAGCTGGTGTTTGTCAACACGTTGGGCCTTGTATAATTCTAGTAAAGAGTTTTGAGTGGCAGTGGGTAGCCTAGTAGTTACAGCATTCACTTCATGCCAGAGGTCTGAGTTTGATTCCTCTTGGGCACATTGTATGAAGCCAACTGATGGTGTTCCTTGCTGTGATACAGCTGGAATTTCCAAGAGCAATTTGTTAATTCACTAACTTTATTTACAGTTGATGAAATGAAGTTGTACATGTTATATGACATCTTAAAAAAATGAAAGTGGAGAAAATATGAATGTTTTGTATTTTCAGCTTGTGTCTGGAGTGGAATGCTATGGGTATGTTGGACATGGCATTTGCTGTGTTCTGTGATGGGGTGGGCTCCAGCTCTTCCCTCCAGGCTCTCGACCTCCGCAACAACCAGATCAACCATGAAGGGGCGTCCGAGCTGGCAGCTAACCTCAAACGCAATACAACTCTCAGGGCACTAGGTACTTTATAGTTTGTAGTGGATTTTGTATAGTTTTTCTCAATTATCACTATATGTAATTGCTATACATGAGTGGTGGGCTGCCAATGGTGAAGCCTGTCCATGCAGGACGAGTGATGGAAGAGAACTGACCTGGCTGGGTTGGTTGATGACATGTTGCACTGGGCACCTCACCTACAAGAAGGAAACATATGGTTCAAGTGCACTCACTCTTTGGGCTCACTGTTGGGCCACATATAATGTGCTTGTTTATGTATTTATGCATTAATATCTATATTAATACAGGTCTGTCACTTGCTTAGGACTCAAGGAGTTAAATGCAATAACCTATTCCACGGAATTATCCTCACCTACTTTGAAATGACTTCTGAGTTTTCAAACTTTCCAGAAGTGCTGTGTTATTATCAGAGTATACCAGTATGTAATTTATTACTGAAGTGAAGTTTAAAACAATATACATCTTCACTGAAACACCCCTGGCTGCCAGTTTGATAGCCAATTTCAGAGATTAAACACAAGCCAATTTTTCAAAGATTTCCATTCAAAGATGGTATTACTCAATTATTAATAAGTAGATAAGTTTCATTAATGATGAGTACATAATTTGTCAAATCTATAACCCTGTCAGACTGCAATAATGTCAATAATAATTATGATATGCCTATTCAGTTTCATTTGTGGACAGTATTGTGATATCTTTGTCTTGATCTAGATCTTCGGTGGAACAATATTGGTTTGTTGGGAGGACGAGCTCTCATTGAGATGCTGAAATCTAACAAAACTTTATCCCGTCTGGAACTGGCTGGCAACAATATCCCCTCGGACATCCTCAAGTCTATAGGTCAGTCAACACTGTCACACCCTGTCAACATCATTGTTGTACGTCCTATCAAAATACCTCTGTGATGATACTTGGGGTAGAATTGTACCCGGTATGTCATCGTGCTCATTGGGGATCAATGCAACTGGTTTGCCTCGTCCAAACGTGATTATTTACAGAACGTTGTGATATCGTTGGAATATTGTTGGAATACTGATGAATACTGCAGAATACTGCATCACTCAGGCATCGGAATCTGGTCGTGGTCTTTGTGTCATCACCTTACCAAAGTTGTCAGATTCACTAACAGTGTACCCATGAAGATCCGGGTTAAAATAGGTCTTCAGCAACCAATGCTTGTTGTAACAGGCAACTATGCTTGTCGCAAAAGGCGACTAACAGGATCAGGTGGTCAGGCTTGCTGACTAAGTTGATGCATGTCATCGTATCCCAATTGCGTAGATCGATGCTCATGATATCAATCTATGGATTGTCTGGTCCAGTCTCTTTTATTTACAGACGGCCATCATCTGATCATAATGTGTGTGCTGTGTAATACAACAAACTCACAATCAGTGGTGAACTTGCATGGCCAGGATCCCTGTTGACTTTCCTCCCTCACAAACATGATAAAGCTTTCATGCTGTGACATGACTGAAATACTGCTACAACTCAACTCACTCTGACAACCCTGGAGTTTAAAGTTATGTATGGCAGTATTCCCACTCCTTGTGACCATTGTTGTAGTTCATATATGTTGTGTTTCAGAAACTGCTGTGGACAACAATGCTGACCGTCAGCTTCTGACACAGAGTCATCGGAAACAGACTCACAGTCTGTCAAAACACATCAGTCAGCTGGAGCATGACAAACACATCCAGATCGGGGACCTGATGGACACGCTGGACAAGCAGGAGGACCTCCTCCGCAAGTCCAAGCGGTGGGTAGCAGGGGTGTAGTGATTCATTGAACTGTTGATGCATCGCAATTGTCCATGGACCAATATCAATACATCAATGGCAACTTAAATATCAATAGTTAAGATTAACATTGATGCTGGGCTACTGTCGATAGTGTCAATAGATGTGAAAATATATACGTATAAAATATGCTGTAAATCATTAAATGTTTGATTTACTTTGATGCAAAATACATCTTGTTCAGAACGTGTTCCTACACCTAACCTGCTAACAGACGTAAGGCTTGATATCTTGTCGAACATTGCAAGGATCTACGTTGTGAGGAGGTTCAGTTACTCACCATGTTCTCACAATGTTCTCACAATGCTATGCAGCAGTTTGGCCACTTTTGCTGCAGTGGTTGCAGCTATTGCAATACAATTGTGATAGTGAAGATGCCGCTGATATTCAATAATGTTATGTAGGTAATGTTGTGTGTGCCATTGTGACATATCTCAACTGCTGATTAAATGAATTAGTAAACCTGGTTATTTACATGTGGATCTTCAGTAAGTTATATTGTTTATTACAGATACATTTCAAATAAATCTCATTTAAAGCAGATTTTTTACTTTGATGCAATACCTCTATGCATGAAGGTCTTAACAAACCTTCAACAGGAAGTCGTGTCAGTAGACCACCCAATCAAAGGTTGTGTGGGTTCTTGAACCAATCATATGTCACCATTCTAAAATGATTCCTCTTCATTCCTTTACCATTTCTGAAATGTCAATTTTGATAAATGAAAACCCACTTTATTCTGAAGTTTTATCTTAACAACAGAACACCCACATAGAACACAAACATTCATTCAATTGTAACCCCTGGACGGTATAGATGCCATGGTGCTCAGAAACAACAGGGTATATGAAAATAATAAAATATCCACAAAAATGTGATCAACCATAATAACATAACCTTCATATGTTATTTCCACTCGGAACTGCCTTTTTAAGTCTGTTTTTGATATTCAGAAATCAGTTATACTGTTGTGAACTCCCTTGGAGGGATTGCTTTCACCCAGAGAGGTATCGTATCAGAGTAAAAGATCTGGTTTTCGTGACCCCACATTTCAAATCATCCCCATGATTCTCCCAATAGGGATACCAGTGTGTAATGATTGGTAATGGAATGGTAAAAAGGTAGCAATGTGACATGCTTGTCTTAAATAGCATTATGTAATTTGGAGATGGTTGTTGTTACTGACAATTGCTGATTGTAGTTGGATTATGTTTGTGATTCTGAAAAAGCACAGAATGAATTAACTGATGCTCAGCTGAAACAAACAATATTGGTAAACTCTATGGAATAACATTTTCCCCTGCTTACTAATTACATGATTGTTACATATTTCACTGCTTGCAGACATTAATATTTTGTAATCATCGTCTTCCTTACAGAACTGCATCCCACAGAGTGAATTCTCTTCAAGATGCTCTCGAAGACAGGAAAGGGGCTTTCAACTCACTAGCAGCAAAGTAAGAAAGAAACATTCAAAATATTAACAACCTTAGAAATGTTTGGCACAGACATAGAGGTGCAGAGCCTTCAACCATATCTAGGATTTTGAAACTTGGCGTATACTACCAGTCTCAATGTCAAGTTAAACACATAGGAGACTGACATTGGTTCATATGTAAGGGGAAGAGCTCCAGATAAGCTGAGCATTTGCGTAAAATATGCAAATAAAAAAATAATTGCTTTCATACAAATATGCATTAAAAACATTCAACAACCCAATAGATTAACAACGCTATGTGTTATTACCCAACGTCACTTTAACAACTTGTGTCATTTCGGACGTATTCTTCATGACTGAAGCTTGGCATCATGTTTATCTGACCTCTACGTCAGTGAATAATGCAAAGATGTGCAACAAACCGCTTGTTGTAACTTGCATCACAGTTATGAGGTTATGTGACATGTGACTCACTCTTAGCAGTACAAAAACACATGCTAATTAGAAGTTACCTGACAAGCGAAATCATTTTTTATAAATCTACTAATCGGTTTCCAAAAGCCAATAGACTTTACCCTAAGAGTAAAAATATAGTGAATACCCCCCCCCAAAATATCAATACCCAATGTGAATGATAACGTGTGAGTCAATATTCAATGGCTCAAATATCTATATGGAGTCCTAAAGGAGTGTCTGCACTCACTGTATCCCCCTCCAGGTCCACCAGTTGAAGGAAATTTCACAACCAAGCTTTAGCATGGTATATGATCTTTTCCTGAACTTGAACATGATGAATGTAGCCATGACAAAACCGAGATTGAGGTCATCCTCTCTCTCGCAATCTGTTAACATGGTTAATGAATATATCAAATGAATGGTATATTTTTTGTGAATATTTTCAGGCCTTTATGTTTATGCTTTAATTGTTTGGGATTTTGGAAATGTTTCTTAACTTTCCTTATCATTGAGGATAGGTTTATGTCCATTTTTGTGAGAACTTATTTGGAGAAATGTGGTAAAAGGCTTGCGAGCTTTTGAACTGTACTGTAGAATTCACTGCAGCTGAAGCCTTGTAATCAGTTAGAAGATTTTCATCCCCGCCCACCTCACTACCACACACCCCACTTCATGTAATCTCATTCAGCATCTTCCCGAGGCAAGGGAGTTAACTGAACAAAAAAGTCCAGTTTCAACCCTTGCCGAACTAGGCTTGAATTCCCGGCTCGATCGTAGCGCCACTTGTGGCTTTTACGATTTATGTCCTTTCTATGCCACTTCTATTGACCAATCACATTCCACCTCTCATATCACTTGCATTTGCTTCAAACAAAATGGCGGCGCCCGGTCAAGACGATCTGATCGATGATCAAGATATATATTGTAATAAATTGGTCTTGCCTTGCGAAGTGCATCAAATCATGTTAGCATCTTGATTAAAAACATGAAAAGATTTGGAAAATATCTGTCGACACCCAGTTGACGGTACATAGAAATCCATGCTGTTTTGCGGATATTGATTTCGTTACGCGATTTTGATTTAACTATGCATAGGCTCTTTAGTCCAGCCAAAATATAATCCATACTTCCAGCCTAGTTCAGCAATTGTGGAAATTGAACTTTTCAAGTCAGCTGAACTGCTTTTTTAATATCAAGAACATAACAACTAACCAGCCTCCTACCAGACTTAATAAAATAATATGGATGTAAATCGAATATTTGTTTTTATTATGGGACCTTTTCATTTTCCCATTTGATGCTGTTAAACTGTAGTCCTGACTAGTACAAGCAGCCCCCCCACACACACACATATACGTATGTCGTGATGTGAGTGAAATATCTTGAAGGCAAAGCTTAACCACATTTCACCGGCACCTATTTAAATGGCGTAATGTGTTTCTTGTTCTCCAGATTGTCCATGACTGAGTCTGAGCTGGTTCTGGCTGAGCAGAAGGTCACCGACTGCAATCTTGTCATCAACAGACTGAAGAATGATCTGTCGGAGAGGGCAGCTGCCCAAGTGTCAGAGATGCGACATGAGAGGGAGGTAGGGGTCTTGTTTGATTTTTGTCAAGTTGAGGAGATTTATGGCTAACTCTCAATTTGTCATATAATAATCATTCCCAATTCCATTCCATCTTTCATTAGTGTCATGCTATCTCTTTTTAGTGTCATACCATCTTTCCTTAGTGTCATACCGTCTTTCCTTAGTGTCATACCATCTTTCCTTTGTGTCATACCTTCTCACTTTTGTGTCCCACCATCTTTCCTTAGTGTCATGCCATCTCTCATTAGTGTCATTCCATCTTTCCTTAGTGTCGTACCATCTCTCTTTAGTGAGGTGTGATCTCTCTTTAGTGTCATGCCATCTTTTAGTGTTGTGCCATCTCTCTTTAGAGTCATACCTTCTCACTTAAGAGTCATACCTACTCACTTTAGAGTCATACCTTCTCACTTTAGTTTCATGCCTTCTCACAATAGTGTTGTGCCATCTCTTTGGAGTCATACCTGCTCACTTTAGTGTCATGCCTTCTCACAATAGTGTTGTGCCATCTCTTTGGAGTCATACCTTCTCACTGTAGTGTCATAGCTTCTCACTATAGTGTTGTGCCATCTCTTTGGAGTCATACATGCTCACTTTAGTGTCATGCCTTCTCACTATAGTGTTGTGCCATCTCTTTGGAGTCATACTTGCTCACTTTAGTGTCATGCCTTCTCAATATAGTGTTGTGCCATCTCTTTGGAGTCATACCTTCTCACTTTAGTGTCATGCCTTCTCACAATAGTGTTGTGCCATCTCTTTGGAGTCATACCTGCTCACTTTAGTGTCATGCCTTCTCACAATAGTGTTGTGCCATCTCTTTGGAGTCATACCTTCTCACTTTAGTGTCATGCCCTCTCTCATGTGGTGTGGAAAGTATACACCCATAAGGGTGAAGCAATTTCAGCTGATTACCATGATTACTCTGAATCTTGCTAAGCTTCAAAGAGGGACAAGTTGATTCATGGGGTATATCATTGTATACATATTGAAGATAATATGTTTTTAGTCACTGTGCATTTACTCACATTTAATCATATTCTTTGGGTATTCATTATGTTTGAACTCCCTTTGGTCCAGGTTCTTGAATTTCCAGGTAGAGAACAGGTCTTCAGCAACACATGCTTGGCGTAAGAGGCGACTATGCTCGGCCACTTAGTTGATGCATGTCATCAAATCCCAAATCATCATAATGTCAATCACTGGATTGTCTGGTCCAGACTCATTTATTAACTGACCACCGTCATATAGTTGGAATATTGCTGAGTGTGGCATTAAACAATAAACATGATAAACAAAGTTATTTTTTAAAATAATTCTCCTTAATTTATATTTTTATGTACCTACACAAATATCGTGTCTACAACACAGCTTTTAGCTCTAAGAGCCTTAAAAGGGAATGACCTGACCTGCACAATGATAAATGTGCAAGTTCCAATAAGCAGTATTAACTACAGTAGAAGTCATGAATGTCATGTCTGCATTTCATCAGTGATTAAAGATCAGTAAGGAAATACAGGAACACAAGCTGAAAGCTTGGGTAATAATTATGCCTGCTGTCAATACTATTGTGTTTGAACTGTTTCATGTACGCAAGCATCTCTTAGGTAACTAGATAATAGGGATATATTTTGATTATTCCATACACATGCATAGCTTACTTGGAGCACTGGACGACTTTCAGGAGAGTGTAGTAAACACAGTGTGACACTTTATTGTAGAGACCATGATATACATGAACGGGTCGGGCATTGACTCCCAAAAGTTGCAGATATTCTGTGGATCTGTTATTTATGCACCATCCAGTGTTCGAATTAAAGTCAAGGGGTCCTTTTGTTAACCCTTATTTAAATGTAAGAGATTGAGGGGGTCCATAAATTAATGTGCCATTGGAAAAAAACAAAAGAGACCCAAGAACCCCTTTCATGTTAAACACTGCCATCTGTGCTCAAACTCCTTCGTTGAATCTATGATGACTGATGACCCCATGACTGGCTTGTGTTGACTAGGACCGAGCCAATGAGGAGATGAAGCTGCTGAAGGAACTCTCTGAGAGTAACGACAAGAACATCCAGCTGCAGACCAAGGTGGGGCTACACTCAGACTTGACATTATCTTGGGTTGTGTGTCCAGATGAACTGCTTTCATACTGACAACCAATCTCATACAAATCAACCTTTTCCTCCAATATGTTACCTCTGTGCATGAAGATCTTACAAACCCTCCATTGGAGATCAAGTCAGATGAATTTTGTTTTCAGCAAACAAACATAAACAGTCAATTGTGAATGCAAAAACCTCTGTGGTCTTGTGGTAGAGCGTCTGCCCAGAGTGCGGAAGGTCCAGGGTTAGATGCCAAGCTGCGTCATACAAAATACATTAAAAGATGGTACTTGTTGTTACCCTGCCTGGCGCTCAGCATTAAGGGGCTATAACAAGGACTGGTCAGCTCGGGGTCAGCATTCTGTGTCTGAGTGGGGTATTCATGTTAAACTACGGCATGGTATCTCAGTTGGCTGGCACTATAAATCGGCATCAGTCCGGACTCGTACAAGCAGCCACACACACACACGTGCATGCACGTCACTATATACCGGTAAGTGCAATAATCTTGAACGCGACGGGAAACCCCATTTCACCTAACCTCTGCATGCAGAATAATAAAGAACTCACCCTTGTATTGTATGGTGAACCATCATTTTCTGAATCAAGTTATAGAAATATAGCCTTCTTGTTCAAAAAAGGAGATATGATTTGCTGAAGAAACTACTAAACCTTCATTTAGATTGGGCAGTCAAAATTCACACAAGGTTCATCTGACGTGACCTGAGTTTGTCAGATATGCATGCAGTTAGGTATCGTGATGGAGTACAAGATGTGATATTAAGGATATTGTACTGACAACACACTGTCACTAACGGTCACAATAACAGGGAAACAAAATACTATTTGCAAATGTGTTTTCTTTCAGTGAGGTTATGCAAGGTTGCTGCTTTAGATTTTTAGTTCAAAGAGTAGTTTGATTTAGCTGATTTTTCACTTATTAGGCATATTTAATAGAAAATCATTTGTTATTGTAAAAGTAAAGTTTTTGAAAAAATAATAGAATGGGGCCCGCATCTGAGAAATAATTAAATGCTGTTAGATTACTGCCAAGAGAGTATGTATAAAATGTTTCAATGGTACTCATGTGAGTACCTTTATAATCATTGTTACCTAACAAGAGTTGGCTCCCTTGTTTAGGTGGATGACCTTGACCGGAAGTGTCGGAATCAGCAGGAGCAGGTGTTTGAACTGAAGGAGCAGATAACCCACCTCCAGGCTGAGCTGAAGCTGAAGGGCACACAGTTTGATGGTGAGGGCAGTATCTGTGTGCTTTTGGTTGTTTAATGCTGCACCCTGCACTCAGCCAACTGTATGATGGCAGCCTGTAAGACAAGATAAACCAGTGATTGATATTATGAGCAACGATCCACACCATTGACGTAGAATGACATGCATTCAGCCAATTCACCAAGCATGATCACCTGATCAATTAAGTCGCGTTGTACGATAAGTAAGGGTTGCTGGGGACTTATTCTAATCCCCAGGGGAAGTGGTGTGAAGGCCAGTACTAATTTCAGCTTTCTTTGCCTTCTAGATGTGTAAGGCTGGTATTATCATGCTCCATCCTTTTAGTTTTGAGCTTCATAGAGCTTGCCGGGGGCAAAGGTGTCCCAGTCATCTAAAGCCATTGCAAATCGCTGTGCCTCAAGCAGGCCAGAAACCTATAATGATGGGTTTCAGTGTGAGATTTTCCCTTGTATGTTTCTTGATTTTTTCTCAACACAATAACAGAACAAAAGTGATCGGGCTTGCTTCACACCAGAAGCTGATGGAGGGTGAAACAACAAAATTGACCCTGCACCCCACGAACCATACCACTTTCTCACCTCCTCCTCCCCACCCAACACCACCCATCCCAACACACACAGAAGCACCATCTCTCTGGATTCACAGTTGCCATGTGACATTATCCAAGAGAGAGATCTATATACATGCTACTGTTTCTCCATCAGAGCGTCTACAACAGGAGCGGCAGAGACAGAAGGATGCTGTGAGGGACATGGAGCAGTACAAGCAGAAAGAGGTAGGCTCACATGACAACACTAAGTGCTCTGATGATGGTGCACTCTTGTAAATGTCAATGAACATTGAACACTGTCAAACCCCAACCAACATACGTTGCCCATGGTCATTGAGGTATGTAGAAAACAGTCAACATTATTTCCTATTTTGTTATGACTTTGTAGAGGTGACTTGTATTCCACTGATAGCAAGACCAATATAGAGGAAGAGGCTTTAAGTAGGAGATAAACATACTGTGTTTTCATGTAGAGCTAGGTTACCTGTAGATTTAACCGCGCTAAAATGAATTTGGAACCTAACTCGAAGCGGCATGGGTTGAGTCCAGTGTTTTCAGTGGGTTATCGATCTGAATTTCGGAATCACCGAACAAAATATGGCGCTGTATATACTCAAGCTTTTATAATACATCACTCGAACATATGACAGGCATTGAAAGCATATAAGCTCGGCAACTTGGTAAGCTAACATGAGGTGGGCATCCCTAAAGAAAACAAAGCAAGCTTTGCAAGGCTTTCGCTCTACATCGCACGTCACCATTATGACGTCATCGCTCATTGTGACGCAAAAGATATGACGTCACAGTCGTATATAGAAAAGCGCCAAAATTCCAAGCTTTCTGTTGTCTCCAAAACGTAAATGCATTCCCTTTGTAGATTTCTATTGTGTTTTCTGCATGAAATGTATTGCCACACATCCTTTGAATATTGTAGTTACGGTATCTGTGCATTTTGTAACCTGTAATTGTAGATATAATTATTTAAATATGCCTACCGACAATGACTGAAAATAGTACTATTCTATGAACATTAGCTTCCGCGGTGATGCGGCTGTCAAACCAGCTGTTTCGATCAGAGGGGGTTTATTGTGACTTAATAGCCTCTGATTGACCAATCAGAATCGAGTAAATTCCAAATTCATGGTAGAATGCTTTGTTTAACATTATCATTTGAATGAGGTGTTAAAATTGAATAATTTTAAACAATTTTTTGCCAATTTGCCGCCAAGGGCACTTAGTTTGGAATCCTTGATAAGTCCCTGGTTCAAGACGTGAAGAGTTGACAGATGTGATTTACATGACTGTTTGGTGAGGCTACCTATATGGCATATTATTTCATCAAGAAAAGGAAAGAAAGGTACCAAATAGCAATTTTATTCATCTGTAGATAATAAAATGATAAAGGCAGGTAGGGAACACATTCTAATAATTTATTAATGATCGCCTAGCGGACACAAAATAATATGGGAAACACTGTTGAAATTCCTCTGACTGATTGCTCCACCTGTGGTGTAGATCATGCGGACGAAGCAGGAGGGGGATGACGTGGAGAAGGCCCTGAGAGAGAGGATCCAGAAGTTGGAGGAGCAGCGGATGGGCCTGGAGGAAGAGGCCAGTCGCCTGAAGACAGCAAACATGGCCGACCGCATGACAGCCGAGGAGCAGCTCACACACACCAAACAGAGGATCAAGGCAGAGGAGGTAGGCAGGAGAATGTCATCTTAGTAGAATGTCTAACCTAGCAAGTTGTGAGTGAGGTTGCTAAGGTCAGAAATATAGCTACATGTCACATTAGACACTCGCTTTTACTGGTGTGAAATCTGTCATAGCTGATAAAGGCCATGTTCACCGATTTGGTGAGCATCACTTCACTAGTCATGCTAAGTGTGGAGCTAATCTCCCAAGATCCCATTATCTGGCAATATGATGATATTGCATAAATGCAGATTCAAATGGGATTTTGAAAATGGAGTGAGCTTATGTAATGGCCTGTTGTCCAGCGACCTGTGCCAGTGTTGGGGAAACATCGTCAAACCAATGAAGCTGGAACTTTACATGCTTGTTCCCACCACACAACACCTGAATTTGTTCAAGAGGTTTGAATCTGGTTTTCAATATGACCACTGTTCAGCCATATCTGCTCAAAATATACTGTTGTGCTCTGAAATTCTCTCAACAGGCATTTGTGCCTCTGTTAAACATCTTCTTTGACACTAGCACACTGGGGAAGCTGAACTGTGGCATGTTTGTTGCTCTCACGGTGAACAAATTGTATGGCATCAGAAATCGTTTTGAGTTGAAATTGTGTGAAGTAAATTTGACTGTTTTGTATTGCAACAGTATTCCACAATAATACTTTCATTCTCGCAGATTTAGAAACAATGTGGGAATTTACTTACTGTCAATATTTTTCTTCAGTATTAATGCAGAAAATATTTGATAAAGCAATGCTTACAGCAACTTTTGTTTGTGGCTGTTGACATTATATACTGTTGAGTACATATCCAGGTGTGCTGCAGTGCTGTTGTGCTTATGTGTTCATTTAATGTCTGTTATCCTGAATATCAATGTGTTGTGAAAAGAAATTAAGAGAAACATGTTATGTTTTGAAACAGTTACTAATAGAAATATTTTATAAAAAAATCCAGGCTACTCCCTCGAATAATAAAAAAAATTTTTTACCTTAAGCGTGTTAAGTGATAAGGATAATATTAGCGTTCCCTGCTGTTATCTCTGTCTCAGCTGTGTAGTAACGTCTCATATTTGTGTCCTGTATGAAGGAGCAGCGTCAGAAGCAGCTGGAGGAGAAGATACGTGTTCTGCAGACATCCAAGGACGAGCTGAAGAGTCACTGTAACCAACAGGCCTCGCTGGTGTCGGAGCTGCAGTGCAAGAACTCCAACCTGACGCTGGAGCTGGAGACGCTCAAGAGGAGGTTGGAGGAGATGGGACAGGTTAGTTCTCTTATTCATAGGCAAATACGTGTATGGCAGCCATATTGAAAAAAGCTTTTATCACAATAAATTTTGTAATTGTTTTGACCATTCTCTTATATTCTCTCAAAAGTCATTTTGGCTCTGTAAATATAGTAAGCTTCGCTGAAATTGCAAGGCTGAGGGAGCTCAATTTAGCATATACTTTTTCTTTTTGATGACATATTTTGTTCAAATTATTAGGTTTTAGTGTTAACTATTTATGCAGAAATTATTTGAATGTCAAATTTTGTTAATAGACTGTCTATGTCACTTGCAACTATTGACTTCATATTCAAGTGAGATACAATGATGTGGTACTATTTTGACTGTTTTTTCAAACTGGATATAGTTTGTATAAAAAACACTGGAATAATAAACAGACAACAATTTTTACATTTTTATTACTTCTATAAATATAACAATTAAATAGAGTAGCACGAAATCGATGGAAACTATTAATACTGTAAAGGAGTGTAACTTTTACACTCCTACTTATAACTGGTTAGAGGGAAGACTTATCTTTTTTCATGTGCAATACTGCAAGACAGAAAACATTCACTGAGCTAAACCTAAACATAGTGAAGGTGGCTCAAATAATACACAACATCAGCACTTTTTACCCGTCATCAGAGTTGGTGTTGTATGTACTTTCAACATTCAGTATGTAGAAATACTGAATAATTCATGGCTTTTTATCTCTCCTTCCTGTAAAAATGTGAAAACTTGCAAGTTAAGTTTCAAATTATTATTCTAGAAAATGAATTTTCCAGAACATGATATGATTCAAACTTATCATGATGTGCCAAAACGTGGTTGAACAGTTCCAGGTGTATGAACTCTTATTACAATGCCTCCTTTTATCCAGGAGCTAGCTGAGAAGAACAACATCACCTTTGCAGAAGTGAGCAAGGTGAAGATGGATCTGAACAGTTCCGTCAACAAGCTGGAAGAGGAGCGCCATCTTCATAACACCCTGCGAGACAAGCTTAGTCAGACAGACAGGCAGCTGTCAGGTAGGTCACTGTAGGGGCCTCTTCATGACACGCTGCGAGCCAAGCTTAGTCAGACAGACAGGCAGCTGTCAGGTAGGTCACTGTAGGGGCATCTTCATGACACGCTGGGAGACAAGCTTAGTCAGACAGACAGGCAGCTGTCAGATAGGTCACAGTAGGGGCATCTTCATGACACGCTGGGAGACAAGCTTAGTCAGACAGGCAGCTGTCAGGTAGGTCACTGTAGGGGCCTCTTCATGACACGCTGCGAGCCAAGCTTAGTCAGACAGGCAGCTATCAGGTAGGTCACTGTAGGGGCCTCTTCATGACACGCTGCGAGCCAAGCTCAGTCAGACAGACAGGCAGCTGTCAGGTAGGTCACTGTAGGGGCATCTTCATGACACGCTAGGAGACAAGCTTAGTCAGACAGAGAGGCAGCTGTCAGATAGGTCACTGTAGGGCTATCTTCATGACACGCTGCGAGCCAAGCTCAGTCAGACAGACAGGCAGCTGTCAGGTAGGTCACTGTAGGGGTATCTTCATGACACGCTGGGAGACAAGCTTAGTCAGACAGAGAGGCAGCTGTCAGATAGGTCACAGTAGGGGCATCTTCATGACACGCTGGGAGACAAGCTCAGTCAGACAGACAGGCAGCTGTCAGGTAGGTCACTGTAGGGGCATCTTCATAACACGCTGCGAGCAAAGCTTAGTCAGACAGAGAGTCAGCTGTCAGATAGGTCACAGTAGGGGCATCTTCATGACACGCTGGGAGACAAGCTCAGTCAGACAGAGAGGCAGCTGTCAGGTAGGTCACTGTAGGGGCATCTTCATGACACGCTGGGAGACAAGCTTAGTCAGACAGAGAGGCAGCTGTCAGATAGGTCACTGTAGGGCTATCTTCATGACACCCTGCGAGACAAGCTTAGTCAGACAGAGAGGCAGCTGTCAGGTAGGTCACTGTAGGGGCATCTTCATGACACGCTGCGAGCCAAGCTCAGTCAGTCAGACAGGCAGCTGTCAGTTATATCCCACATGTATGGTCCATTCCCTAATTCAGAAAATGTCCCACAATAGTAGATTTCCGTGACAACTGTTACATGCTGCAATATTGGATGTTTCAGAGCAAATGTTGAAGAACCGAGAGCAGCTGGAGCACAAGGAGCGTGAGATAGTGAGTCTGGAGGAGCGACTGCGAGCCCGAGATATGGATATCGCTCGCATCAAGGAAGAGGAGGTGCAGAGGGCACACATGCTGCAGTCGGCCATCATGAACTATGTGTCCAAGACACCATACTCCTCCCCAACAAAGTGATCTTAACTCTGTCTCCTGTCTATCGTGATATTTTCTGCCTGAAACCTTGATGTATAAACAGGAGTACACGCTACAAGTTAAACCCTGCAGGTCTACAGCTTGTTCTGGCTATGTAACATGGAGAGAAAACGAGGTCCTTCAAGATTTACACTAGTCTCAGGACAAGTGGATTGTGTCTGTCTTACCTCAGTCTGTATTTGACTCAGTTATCCAAGGTGCCGCAATTTGGTGTTCAGAGTTCCGTCCCTTAGGCAAGCCAGAAACATATGACTGTGGGTTCGCATCCCAGATTCAAATTCATTATGTTTCTAGATTTGTCTAAGACCTGCATCACTTCAGGCTTTCCTCCTACACCAAGCTGACACACCTTGATATAACTTTTCAAAGCGATGTTTTACCAATGTCACTCGCTCATTAGACTAAATGTTAGAGTGGGACTGACCCTGAAGCCGGTTAAAACAGCATGAGACAATATGAACAAGTTATTTCAGTGTATTGGTAGGTGTAAGAGGACCTCTCATTTGTCCAAACTATAGAATTTAAATGTGTTGAATTATTGGTAGAAGCCAGATTCTCTCAGTGTCGTATATGTATATTCCTTGTTGAATCAGGATGTCTACCTTAGCTAATTAGTTTGTATTTCATTAGTCTATGCAAGCTTGACAGCCAAATAAGTAACTCATGGGTGCTATCTGCACTGCCGTACATGACTGTAGAGACGTGAAAGGAAGAGAGAGTGTGTACAAAGGTCAATTCAGGACGACAGTGATACAGATTAATAGTCTGATTTGCTGAAAAACAGGACTGTGCAGTCTTGCATCAAAAGGAAAAGAAGAACACTATGAGGTTAACATGATGATTTAAGATAAGAAAAGTGTTCTTGTGTAGATGTTGTGTTTGCCAAAAACAGATATTAATAGTATTATAAAACTGTTGCAAAGTAGTGTCCACTAAATGGTTCTCAGTGAAAAGTGGGAGATATCAAAGACACATCTCTCTGGCATGTAAGAATCCTATGATTTTGAGTTCAGATCACATTGTTTCTTGGTTTGTGTGCATATCTGTGCTTGTGAGTTTCACCAAATGTATCAGAGCTGTATCTCTTCGGGATTTACTCACTCGTTATACTTGCAACTGAAATAAGGAGCATACACTCACTGAAGTATGCTGCAGAAAAATCATTGATTCTTAGGATATGTATATCACCTTTTCTTATTTCATACACATCACCTCCGATTAATGGGATCATGATGCATCGCATATCAGGGCTTAGGTAAACATCTTTATCTGAGCTGTTGAAACCAAATTAATTCACCACTGGCCATAAGATTGTGAGTTCTGTAATACTTCATGTTACTGATGCACAGTGATTTCTGATGAGATTATGTGTATTGATGTGTCCATGGTTATTTATGTAAGTAACATCTGTGTGAGATTATGTCAGATGCAATTCTTTCATTTGAGCTGTCACAATCATTTCTAAAACAGTTGACCCATAGGCTTGTCGTAAGAGGTGACTAAATGGATCAGGTGCTCCAGCTTGGTGGGATGCCTGTCATTGTATCCCACTTGCTGCTGACTGTCTGGTGTGGACTTGATGTACACAGTGCAGTGTTAAACAGACAAACAACATTACACATGTTTTTTACTCCTGTTGCCGCCAGTCACTGTCATGGTCTGAAATGTAAGAAATATGTCAGCACTTTGATAACTTTACAAGGCCATTACAAGATTTTGATCCAGACAAAATTATTCACCAAGTGTGCTATCCCACTCCCATTTGTGATTGAACAATAATCTTATCATGTGCTTATCATCGTCTTCATGTCAATCACTGGATTGTCTGGTCCACACCTGCTAGAATAGTGTGTGCAGCGTTAACAAGTTTCTATAACATTATATGCTATGACCCCAGTGAAGATTCCGGGTTAGAATAGGTCCTCAACAATGTATGCATGGTGCGGAATGTTGCCCACAATATCAATCACTGTATTTTCTGGAACAGACTTGATTATTTACATGTTACAGAACGATATCATAGCTGGAATATTGCTGAGTGTGTTGTTAAACAACAAACTTCTGTTATGGCTGTTTAGCAGTGTAAAAAAACATTACAGGCGAGTTAACAGACCGTATTTAAGGTTTGAAATTGTGTTCGCAAGTGATAATACTACCTAACCTATTAGACATAGACTGCATGCTAACTGACATGTAGAAAATATTAATGTCTTCATACACGAACTAGAACACTTTCTGTGATAAAATATTTATTTTTAAATTTAATATTGTTATTATATCACTATTACATTAAAATATGCAAAGTATAATTTGTTTGTTTTAACTGAGGATAAATTTTGTTCTCTCCTTGAGAATCTTACAACCTTAGCAGCCTGTTCAGAGCTGGAAGTATTTTTTTCAAACACCCACACATGTGTTCAGTTATGGGAAAAGCCCTCAAAGGAACCTTCAGCTTTTAAAGGAATAATTATGATTTGAGTCCTATTTTCAATGGCAAATATCTACAGTAGGGTTCATACAAATTTCAATGTCCTTACATGATATTATGCATGTTTTCCATGAGATAAGAGTCACAACAAAATAAACTTTGTGAGGCGTGTTAACTCAGAATAACAGCGAAACATTGTTAAAAGAAAATATTGTTCCATGGCTTTGAGTTTCCCAGGCCTAGTACAAACATTCCATGACCATTCCAGATTCCATGACCCATTAGAACCTTGTGCAGTAAAACTGGTGTTGGCAACTCAACCCCACCCTGAAACATCTAACCTCGAACTAATAATCCTCACTTCAAATCACATCAGAGACAGAAACACAAATACACTTTAGGCTAAAGAAAATAATAGTCTTGGTTCTCAGGCACCACCCACATCATCATAGAGTTAGACGCACTTTTGTTTTTATTTTATTTTATTTTTTCAAACAAAAAAATTCATTAATAATTCCAAGTCCAACAGTAGTAAAATACTGTATTCCACTATTTTACTCATCAAGGAAATACATTTATGTAGGGAGGCCCTTTCCCAGGTTTATTGTATACAACTTTTTATTTGGTACACAACTGTTTGTTTGGTTACACAACTGTTTGTTTGGTTACATACCAGTTTGAACAGCATCGGCTTGCACTATAAAGATGGCATTGATACACACACCTCACACACTTGGGGACGACCCATCACCAATTGCTAGATCACTAGAAAATAATAATGCATACAGTATGTAGCAGGCATGGATTACTAACTTGCTCATGGTGTTAACCTCTTTTGTCATGCCAACAAGGCATCCGACATTGGTCAGGTCTCTGGTTTGAATCCAATCACAGGACTTGAAAATGTTATATCCACTACTAGGGCTGGGACAAACTCGGATACCCGGGTCTGGGGGGTACTGAGTAGGACCCGGGTACCCACAGGACTACCCGGACCCGTGGTTAGTCACATGATATATTGTTTCATGACAAACATTCACTATATAACTACATGGTTACATGACAAGTTTCAGTCTCTAATGTTTGCATTTCTTCATGACTATGAACACGTTCCTTCTGACTTATATATGTTTGAACAAAGCTAAAACTTCAGTCAACATCAGTGTATGCAAGACCACATCGTTTTATGTGTATCTAAAAACATTCTGCCAGGGCTACTATCAAACTATTCCCAATGGGATATTTTATACCTATCTCTTGACACCAACAGCGGGTACCCCGGTACCCAGGTAGCGGGTAATAAGGATGTGGGTACCCGGGTAGTAAATTTGGACTCATCCCAGCCCTATCCACTACAGGTACATGCAGACATGGTGTTACCATGGTTACAGCCATTAAGTAGTGACAGAATCTGTTACAAGAGGATACAGGTTGAGTGTGCTATCTGTTTATTCCATCTATTTGGAGAGAACAATAACCACACAATAAATATAATATCAAGTCACACCTGGTAAACCCATCTTCCTGACCAAAGTACATAAATGTGCCTGTTATAAGCTTTAATAGACAATGCCTATATTACACAGGTTGTTTATCGTATTGTGCGCCCCTCATAGTTTATTCTCCCTGCAGTGTTTTTTTTATATGATAAACACTGACCAAGGGTCTTTTAATACTTATATGAGATATCAACATCATGTACAGCCTCTTAAGGTTGCTGATAAACTGTACAAGCTTTTGAAATATTTACCCATATTTTCATAATTATGACTCCCTGAATACAATCAGACCTCGGCAATGTCGGACAAGTCATAGGTGGGTTTAGTATCAGTATTTCCTGCATATTCTCACAATCCTCATGTTGATTATCTATACTCAGTACCTTTTCTCAAAGTACCAATTGTCATATCTCTCCCACTTTTGGATGTGACCGTTCGGCCACTGCCTTTAATCTGAATAATTGGTCTTTTTTAATACAGCTAGCGACAGTTTGTGACAATGTTTCATCTGCAGCTATGTACATATCTTCCTTTAGATATACCCCAGGAAACTCACACTATTTTACTTCAGTAGTTATGGGATACATTATGTTGGAGACCATATCTGATTACATGCAGCACATCAATCTTACTGTTTGATTGGCATTCTACATGTTCTAGAAGTTGGCAAATTAGAAAGAATAACATACAACTTTATTGATAACAACTTTCAGTTTATTGCATATAGCGACGTTTCTATGTAGATTCTTTGACCGTAATCAAGCTGGAGTGACAACAACCAAGTGATGAGAGGTATATATGAATGACATGTTGTGATAAGCAGCAGAGTAACATTGACAACAACGGTAATAGGTAACAAGCAGATAATTGGATGAAGCCAAATGAAAAGGATTATACAGTTGTGACAAACCCATCAATAATTAAATAAGTAACAGTATCCCCAGTGCCGTCAGGGGACCAGGGTCAGTTTCTTCCCCCCCCCCCCCCCCCCCGGATTTTTTATATTATTTGAATCAAGTTGGGGACACATGATACTTGTACAAATATTTGCCCCCCCCCCCCGTCAAAAAAAGTTAACTAAGGCCTTGATCAAAAACTAAAAAGTGTATTTCAAGTTTCAATACAAAACAATTTTAATTTTATTTCGTTATCAAGCAAATCAAATCTAATTACGAGTTATATACATAATATCAGAGACCAAAAAATCTATATTATGGTACGGTATGTGATAATATGTGCTGAGTGATACAGAGATCCGTGAAGATACGGGGTAGAATAGGGCTTCAGCAACCCATGTTTGCCATAAAAGGCGACTATGCTTGTCGTAAGAGGCGACTAACGTGATCGGGAGGTCAGGCCCGCTGACTTGGTTCATGCATGTCATTGATCCCAATTGCGTGGATCGATGCTCATGATATTGATCACTGGATTGTCTGGTCCAGACTCGATTATTTACAGACCGCCGTCATATAACTGGAATATTGTTGATTGCGGCGTATACCACCAACCAACCAACAGCAGAAAGAACTGTTCGGTGTATTATGATATATTGCAATGTCAATAACATCAGTTACCAAATATTAAATATATTTAATACTGTCCCATCTCTCCAATTTTCAAATATATGTCACTTTCCTGGTCCCAACGAGAATTACTTAGTACGAACCCATAACATTAATGTCACTTCATAATCCCCGCTACTTGAATAATTATTCAAAGGGACGTAACTCCGTACACTTGCAATTTTAGTTGCTATAAGCGGCCGTGTTTTGTAAACACATGCGCATGCTGTGGGATATGAAATCATCGCCAAAGTTGTAGGTACCTGTGAACGACGGAGAAAGCAACTCGCTTTAATGGTGGAGATATGGCGGGGCGAGGCGTTACAAAAGTTGTCAACAGGTGCGAACAGGCGAAAGAAAATCGACGTCTGGGTATGTATTAGAGGACAAGTCGCAAGGAAAAATGGCAATTTTGGCAAGTCCGATATACAGCTGATTTAGGGAATGACATATTTTGCCACGGTGGAAATAAATGCCCTTTTTGTGACATTTAGACAGTTCATTTGCATATATGTTATCTTGTTCACAGTTTTGGTATGGATTTATCATTTCAAACAATTAACAGGGATACCTGCATGGTTACCTGGTTACATTTATAAGTTGATATTAAACGACATTTCATTATTATATTCCTCTTTCAATTTTGACGATATCATACGGACAGCAGTTTTATAATCATTGGTACAGTAATATCTCTTATAAAGAACTTGTAAAGCGGATTTGTGGTTCTACATGTATATTACACAGGTAAATAGCTGTTAATGTTTTGTTCTTGCAACATATTAGAATCATATTTTATTTCGGTTGTATGATCATGATGATCAACACTCTTTCAGTCCCCATTTAAAGCAGTGAGGCAGTGAGGCACATAGATCCTCACACACACACACACACACACACACACACACACACACACACCTTGAAAGCTGTGAGAAACATAGTTGCCCTTTAAAGCTCTGAGGAGACTAAGTAAACAAACCTTATTAAACTAAACAAATTCATCAAGTTCATATCAGCTAAAAAAGATGAGAACAATCAGTCATTATAAGAAGTACTTTTACTATTTTGTCACTCTTCAGTCAGATATGATTGTATTACCAGGTTTATTTTTTGTTCTGTAGACTTGTCAGAATGCCAGCTGACTCAGATCCCAGATGCCGTTTACCTGCTGATGAGGAACACTGAGCTGGAAACATGTGACATCTCTCTGAACCTTATCAGACGAGTGCCTGCCAAATTTGGCACCAAGTTCCCACATCTCATGGGTAAATATATATTTTTCAGATTGATCAGTTCATAAAGTTCAACTCTCTGGTCACTTACAGAAAAATAAAAGCTTGGAGTAGAATCAAACCATTTACTGGGCATGTTTATTGTTTGTTTGTTGTTTTACGCCGCACTCAGCAATATTCCAGCTATATGACGGCGGTCTGTAAATAATCGAGTCTGGACCAGACAATCCAGTGATTGACATCATGAACATCGATCCACACAAATGGGATCGATGACATGCGTCAACCAAGTCAGCGAGCCTGACCACCCGATCCCGTTAGACGCCTTTTACGACAAACACAGTCGCCTTTTACGGCAAGCATGGGTTGCTGAAGACCTATTCTACCCCGGATCTTCACGGGTCACTGGGCATGTTTAAGCTGGTCTGTTTCTTATCTGTTACATATGGTGTGAAGAGGCTGTTGAAGCCTGTAGTATCCAACCGTTTAACAAACTGATTCTGTAAAGGCTTTTATATCTGTCTGTCTGTCTCTCTGTCTCTCTGTCTCTCTGTCTCTCTCTCTCTCTATCTCTCTCTCTCTCTCTGTCAGCATGATCAAAACAATTGTTATGCTGCTTCAACGTATGTTCTTCTTGTAACATTTATACCCCTCTAATGATGTTTATTTATCAAAGTAGTACATTGTTCAAAATTTGGTGCCTTTGTTACTAAGTTTGTGATAGTGTGTAAATGAAAACATGTAATATAATGTAATATGTTAATACATTGTTACAGTTTTGAGGGGAATATGAGTAAGTTTGTTACTGTCTCCTTTTGCGTTTACGTCTGCGTCTGCGTATCGCAATCCCAGACTGTGTTCGCATACACAGGCAAAAACAGTAACAGTGAGTTTTGGCCCAAACTAGTGATAATGAGATTTTATATCCAGTATTTGAGAAGCCTAAAATTTTGAAAGAGCAACAGCAATCATGGTGGTTCAATTTTTTTTTAAACTTAAAATTTCATGTATATGTTGTTGATTGTAATTTGGAGTGGTGGTGGGGAGGGCAAGGGCAATGATGGCCCAGTCATCTAATAAGGTGCCATAATTTGCTGTGCAGAGTTGCATCCCTTGGACACACCAGAAACCAAGAATCATGGTTCGTCATGATTATGTTTCTAGGTTAGTCAGCACCATACCAATGCTCATGGGTCTCACCAAAGTGGTAAATGTGTGAGACCTGCAATACTTTGGGCTTTCCTCCCACATCAAGCTCACACGCCATGATATAACTGGAATACTGTTTGACATTTTGATAGCAACGTAAAACCTCACTCACTCACTGGTCCTTTGTTTCCCAGAGCTGCACATCAATGGTAACAAGCTGACATCACTCCCGGACGAGCTGCGGGACATGCACAACCTGAAGGTGCTGGACATATCCTGCAACAGCTTCGAGTCGCTTCCCTCCGTCATATTCACCTTCAACAAACTGCGCAATCTCAATGTGGAGGACAACAGCATAACAGGTGACACGATACCCATTATCGTCAGTGTATAACAACCAACCCCCACCCAGCCACACACACACTTTGACAATAAGACAGTGATGAAAAAAATAAATTCATAATGTGATCCACGAGACACTGAAGGTTAGTAAAATAGAAAATGTGAACCCCGCCTCACTGCTTTTTTTGTGGGACATTTAATTACTTAGCATCTATATGACCATGGTATATACCAATACATTGAGGACCGCCTCCGTGGTCTAGTGGTAGAGTGCCTGCCCAGAGAGCGGAAGGTCAGGGGTTCAATCCCTGATTGTGTCATACCAAAAGATGGCACTCAGTGTTAAGGGGCAAAAGCAAGGACTGGTCTGCTTGGAGTCAGTATTCTGTGTCTGAGTGGGGTATTCATGTTATACTGTGGCATGGTATCTCAGTGGACGAGTACTATAAAATCCCCATTAGTAGAGACCAGTACAAGCAGCCACAGACACGCACACACAGGCATGCATATCGCTATATGAGTGCAATAATTTTAAAAGCGACATTAAACCCCATTTTACCTCACCTAAACAATACACAGTTTAAGTTTTAATATAATTTTACTTGCCAGCCTGACCATTACCTTATTACTTCACTTGTCAATTATAACTTTCCATTGGCTAACAGACAAGATATATCTACCGGTATTCCAATATCTCAAAACGGGGCATAAAACACAACATTCTCGCCAACTTAAGGTTTGTTAAAATGACTTCTTGTTTCTTATGACCAGCCCACCTGTAAATTACCCCAGCCTTTAACATTTCTATATGTTAAAGCACTGTTAAGAAGCAACCTTTTCAACTCAAATTTCACATTTGCACCGAAATTCCTATTTTTTGCACACACACTGCCATTCATGGTATTGCAGATCTGCTGGGCACCTAGCTGTCATCACTGTGGCCCGTCTCTTCATACATTTATGTGGCCAAAAGAGGTCACATGGTTCTTTAAAATGAGTGAGTGAGTGAATGAGTTTTACGTTGCTTAAAGCAATATTCCAGCGATATCATGGCGGGGACACCATAAATGGGCTTCACACATTGTACACGTGGGGAATCAAACCCAGATCGAACCCAACAAGAGATATCTTAACCACTAGCCTCCCCCCCCCCCCCTTCTTCAAAAAGAAGTCTGTGTTTATTGATTGTATCTTACAAAAGAAATAAGATTAAGTACATATCTTTTCCCCCCCCCCAAACGGGTTTGGTAAAAAATCATGAGAAGCAAGACTTTTAAGGGGGGTGGGGCATAATTTAGGTTTCACTCACTGAGGGAAATATTTCCTGGTTCCTTCGTAGATGTTGACTCGAGTCGGCTGCAGTCCATGACGTCACTGGTGGAAGTAAACCTGCAGGATAATCCCCTGACCTTGACCTCGTATCGCAGCCTGATGGAGATACGGCTCTATACTGTCCTACTTACACCTCAAGACAAAGAGTTGGACTCCGTGGACTGACACTGAAGATATCTCAGACATATATCACATGAGTGGCCAGTCAACTGTCTGCACAAGCCAATATTTCTTCTTACTTGGATCATCAATCAGCCTGCTCCAATGATTTTTATTTTACAATGATTTAATACAGATTTCTTTTTTTATCCAGGTATGACCTGTTAAGAATAAATTGTATCTTTTATAAACAGTTCACAAGATGGGGAAGAGAAAGGCTGGGAAATATGAAGGAATAGTGTTTGTATGCATTTGCATCAGAGATGTCCATTTTTTAATACAATATTCAACCACGAATTTGAAAAATAATAAATTATGAGAGGTGTATCAGAAGGTTTCAAACTACAATAACAACCTCTGATGGAAACATCTCCTTGGAAGCTCACGTTTATAGAAAATATTTCTTTCTCATTGTCAGTAGGCATTTTTAAATAACGGTATGTGCAATAATAGGTTACAAACTGCAGAGTGGTTGCTTGAATTATTAAAAGTAAGTGTGGCAATGCATTTTGGGCAGAAAACATGATAGAAAACGACCAAGAGTGTAATTTGTGATTTAGAGACAACAGAGAGCTTGAAACATTACGCTTTTCTGTATCCTCCTGTGCCTTGCATGTTCGGTTCCAAATTCTATTAAGTTTGGTTAAATCTAAAGGTAACATAGTGCTACAGTGTGCTTATCTCAAAAATGAATTTGGTTCTTTTTTTTCCAACTTAATTCAGGGTATCCGACTGACTGTAATATAAGTTATAACAAAAATTAGGCTTTAGTTGCAATTTTATCAGACGTTGACCCTGGTATGAACTCTTCCAAGTGTCTGTGAAGGCTGTCAACGTCCTTGTATTTCCGGTATTGTGCCCTTCACAGGTATTAGTTGGAAGGTAGTTTAATATTTATTTTACCTATTTATGTTTTTTACACAAACTTTCATGAGTTTTCTTGATGATTAGTAACAGATGGGATTAAAGAACAAATCAGGGTCGCAATAAGTGAAATGGCTCTGTCACGTTACAAAACAAAAGTATTTTGTTTTTGCCCCCTCAGCAGTGCTGAGAAAACTGAAACAATCCAGGAATACTATGGGTAAGCTGGAGGGCAGTGTTGTTGTGAAAGTCTGATACAGATGGCTACCTGTTTTTGAGAGTCACTGATCACAGTTAATGTCGGTTGTACATGTTGATTGCTGCACAAATAATTTGTTTCAGCTTTGTAATTCTTTGAGTAATGTACTAAATGTTGATATATTTATTTATCAGTGTTACCAAAAAGATCTGTTAATGTTTTATGTTCCTTAGTTTACTGCCACAAGAACTGTATCAGTTTTGTCAAGAAGAAGTGGTACAAACATTACTGATGGTGTGAAATGTGTTTTGGATGATTGTTCAGTGGTTTGATGAAGTACACCAAAACGCTTTTGATAACACTTTTGTTGCCATTTTTTAGGAACTGCTTAGTGCATCATAGAAACAGTATGTTGAGTAATATCTTGTTGAATCCCAAGTGCAGAGAGGGAAGTATTCTTGCATCCCAATAATACAGATTTTCACAAAAAATGTAATCGCGTCATACCATAGGCCCCCACAGCAGTTTCTCAGATGTCAGGTGATGATGTTGGAGATTTTGTGAGTGCTTCTGGTGGAGCCAATATTGCACTAGAAATGTTAGTGCCTGAATACAAATATAACATCAGTCTTATGGAATTGTTCAATTAGAGTCTATTTCAGTTTCAAATACTGGGAGATATGTGTTGCTCGTTGGTCTAAGGCTCTGAAAGTTGTTGTACAGGGTTGCCTCCCTTACTTGCAAGGATCAACAGGCCATATTCATGACTGAAATGCTTACAAAGCAGCGTTACTTCCAACTCTCTCACTCATTCACATTTGGTCCATGTGCAAGTGAAATATGTAGACTTTTGATGCATTAAATGCCATTTGTTGTTTTTGTGTTGAAGATAAATGCATGGTTGTTGTGGCCGCTCCTCAAGACTCCTGTGTTCTGCACTCTTGCACAGTGTGTGGACTTTCAGCACTTATAACAGATATTCACTTTACATCATGACCAGTGTAACAGTAAGTCAGGAGTCCTATCACTATGTATCTTGTATGATATTAAGCCCAAAAACAAGGTATTATGTTTCTGGTGTTTTGGTTTGGCAGTAGTGTGATGTCTACACTTCACTAGACAAGCCCAAAAGGCCTTATAATCTCTCCTCCAATCCATAACATGCATCAGGTGCATTTTGTACTTTCAGTAACCTGCTCTTGGTACAAAATCAGAAAAAATAAAGCCCAATGCATGGGTTATATCTGATGCGGACAAGGACCAGAGACATAATACCTTTTTCTGCCTTATATGCATCAAGATTTCACCAACATTTGATGTAGATTCTTACTGCATCTGCTTAACCCATTTTTTCTGTTCAGAAGTTGAGCACTATCAGCTGCACTAACTCCTGTGTGTTGGCCTTCAAATGTGTTTATTTTTTATTCCTATCAGATCCAAAACTGTGTTCATGTGGTATACACATGATAGACTTGATATGTGTAAATATTAATAATAAAACTCTTATCTGGAGTGTACTGATTGTTACTGCGCATTATGCCAACCTCGATTATCCAGAGTAATATATGTTCTTTCTATTACAATAAATACCTTGGTCTGTCTTTGCCAGCAAAGCTTTGTTTTCAGCCCTGTTTGAATGACAAAATGAAATTAATAGCACTACAGTAAATTACATTGTTATTTCATGATTAAAACAAGTACTGGAGGCAGCTTGTGAAAAGCTCAAATACAGCTGGGAATGCCTGACAGCATAATGACTTCCACCACACTATCTTAATATTTAGGAACACATCTTTTCCAGCTGAAGATTTAAGTCTTTTGATTTGATTAAATATTTTAAGTCTTGTACAAGACAGCAGTTTTGAATGTGGATCTAGGCTGAACATTTAGAAGAGTCATTTTCATTGGTTGTTGGTTTTAAAGGGACAGTTCTGTGTTTTTAAATTATGCATGTAATAATTTCTTAGTGTGACGTCACATGCGTGATTGAATTTTCAAAACAAAACAATAGAGGTCCGCACAACAAAGCCGCCAATGCCAGACTAGACTGGCTTCAGTCATGTTTTTTATTAGGGCATTGAAGAGAAAGCTTCTGTTTTTCTTACGAATGAGTTACAAAATACTTATTGCGTTTTCATCTATTTCATTTTGGACGAGTCTACACATTTAGATAAACATAACTTTCATTGAGAAAAGATCCTAAAACATGAAATACTATTTCCATTTGCATATCTATACACTGGACAATTGAAAATGGAATTGTTAAGGGGCATTTGCGATTATATTCAATATTTATAACATGATACGGCGAGGCCAATTATTGTTCTTGTTTATGGATGTCCTCGACAAACATGCAGGAGCGAATATTTAATAAACATTTTTTGTCAGGGTTGTTTTCTCAATTAATTTTTATAAAAAGGAAATCTGAAAAGATATTTAAAATATGTATCTTTTTAATTTATGTTTTTACCTTTGCACACTTAAGGTGCATCAGTAAAACAGGGCCCGGCCTGGATGAATATTTTTGTAGTTTTGTAGATTTATCATTTTTTTACAGTGAGTGCGATGTATTCATATGTAACTTGATACAGCCCAGTTTGTTACCATAGTTACTGTGTGTAGTTGTTATACGAAATATATTTACACTTTTTGTCTTAGAGATACAGTAGTTTTACTGTTCACATTAGATATTTGAAGTTGTGAAATTTGTTCTTTTTCATCTTTGTGCATATGTTTATGCTTTAGACCACAGTAAGAAGGCCATAATTATCAAAGTGGGTAGGTTAGTAATTGTAGCCTAAGTTTGAGAAAGATAAACTTCCCTTTACTGTCTTCAACAAGTTCAAGTAGCTGTCAAACCCAATAGGGACAATCTATTTATGGAATTTGAGACATTTTTCTCAAATTTTGTTTTGTTTACCTCAAAAGACTGTTTATCTTTCATTTTGAGTTCTTGAGATACTGGGGGCACGGGTGGCCCAGTCGTCTAAGGCGCCGCGACTCGCTGTGCCAGAAACCTATGATTGTGGGTTCGAGTCCCGGCTCGCCCCGATTATGTTTCTAGGTTTGTCAGCACCATACCCATGCTCATGGGTTTCATCGAAGTGGTAAACGTCTGAGACCTGCATCACTTCGGGCTTTCCTCCCACATTAAGCTGACACGCCGTGATATAACTGTAATACTGTTAAAAGCGGCGTTAAACCCAACTCACTCACTCACTCTTGAGATACTTGTTTTGATTATTGGTGAAGCTATTTTTTGTCCAGATGGTATCGTTTCCAGTGAAACAATATAGAATAACAAAATATTGATTACATAGAGGAGACTTGTCTTTTTTTGTCAAATAACAAATGACCTGAGAAACTTGATATTATGAGTGGCGCAGCCACAAGTGAACGTGTCAGCTTTCTCAAGTCACAAAAGACAAATTATCAGCGGATCATGTGTTTTTGGACATCATACGTTTTCAGACAGCTATGTTTATCACGATTACTCAGGCTATAATAAGGGATGTGGTATCACACAGACATTGTAAATACTAGGATGATGGTTTGTTCTTAAAGTAAGGTTGTCTTTTATAACAATGAGATGTTTTACAGTTTTTCATGTGATTAAGCATCTGAAAAGCGATAACACGTGGACATGTTATATTTTCGTCTGATCATCATATAGTTGGTGTGAAATTGTCAGACTGAAAGAAGTTGAGGCATTAAGTGTTATTTCATTGAGTGAAATACTGATTTTCTGATAAATGTGGTGTTTCATTACTAAAAACATCCTACTTATCTCTTGTTGACTTACCGGTTTCTGCGTGTACTTAAGATTTGTAATATCTGTGATAACAGCAAGATATATGAATGGCTAAATATGATCAGATCAGCATGAAGAGTGGATGTTCTAGGTAACGGTAGTGGTTCTATATGTGTCATTTAGGGCTGGGACGAGTCCAAATTAATTAATTTACTACCCGGGCACCCACCCCCCTATTACTCGACCCTGCCTGGGTACCCGCTGTAGGTCTAAAGAGGTAGGTACACACTGTCTGATTGGGAAAAGTTTGACCGTAGCTCTGGTAAAATGTGGTGTGGTGCTCTGGTGTGTACACTGAAGTTTTATTTTTATTCAAAACCATATAAAAGTCAGAAGGAATGGGCGTTGTAGTCAGGAAGAACTGTGAACATTAGTGGCTTGTAGTATAAACATGGAGTTTCAGGTACTTTTTGTCATTAAACAAGATATCACTTGACTAACCACGGGTCCGGGTAGTCCTGTGGGTACCTGGGTCCCACCCGACCTGGATACCCGAGTTACCCGTCCCAGCCCTAGTATCATCATGTTTGTTACAGTAACTGTGTTATACATGTAATGAATCAGTTACAGAAGTGTTTTAACGGTTAGAGGGGTACCATGCCCAGAAGGCGGAGTCAGCAAATCTGTGATATGAGAACAGTTTGTAGAATAGGCCATAATAAATTGATGAGTAGATTTCATGCCAGATGCCCCACTACCAAATACCCAACTGACAACATTACCTTTTCCTGGGGGGCACGGGGGGCCCAAAGTCTCTGCAATTCGCTGTTAAGAGTTGTGTGCCTTTGGCACACCAGAAACCTATGATTGTGGCTTCAAATCCCAGTTCACCCCGATTAGGTTTCTAGGTTTGTCAGCACCATACCCGTGGGTTTCACTGAAGTGGTAAATATCTAAGACCTGCAATGCCTCAGGCTTTCCTCCCACATTAAGCTGACAAGCTGTGATATAACTGGAATACTATTAAAAGCGGCGTTAAACAGAACTCACTGTCCCTCATTATATTTTCCTAAGTACCAACAGATGAAGAAAATCGCTGTGTGTCCCTGCTCCCCTCACTACCAAACATCCTGCCTCATCATTCTATTGTCTTCAGTACCTACAAAGAAACAAGTTGCTCTGTGTGTCCCCTTCTTCTTAATATGTCACATGTAGTCTGAACAGTCATCAACAGTTAATGTCCACAGATGCCTTGAAAGTTTTGTTTCAACAAAATAAACTGCGGGGATGAAGAAAGTATACACTCAGTGTATAAAATTCCCTAAACTTTCAGTCAGACAACCGGACTACCAACTTGGCCAAGTTACCAGACCATATAAGGTGAGGTGAGGTGAAATGGGGTTGAACGTCGCGTCCAAGATTATTGCACTTATATAGCGACGTGCATGTGTGTGTTTGTGTTTGTGTGACTGCTTGTACTAGTCCGGACTGATGCCAATTTATAGTGCTAGCTCACTGAGATACCATGCCGCAGTTTAACATGAATACCCCACTCAGACACAGTATACTGACTCCGAGCCGACTAGTCCTTGTTTTAGCCCCTTAATGCTGAGCGCCAGACAGGGTAACAACAAGACCAATCTTTTAACGTCTTTTGGTATGACGCGGCCGGGGATCAAATCCCGGACCTTACGCTCTCCGGGCGGACTCCCTCCGGGCGGACCACGATGGCGGCCTGTCCCAGACCAGATAAAAGACAAACCAACAAAAGTAAGAAAAGAGTAAACATAAGAATGGTACTGTTCTCAGAAAATAAGAATAAACTGGTGGATTATAAACTTAGTAACTTTTTAACTCATTGAAATTCTATTCATCACTAATGTGTTTAACTTTTACAGTTGATTTAGCTCTTACAATAAAGACTTAGGTATGTAGGTAATACTATAATAGCCAGTCCATCGGGCATCAGTTTCAAAACTGACCGTCCGTCAGCAGAATATTCCATCTGGGTATTTTAAACGCTGATACACTTGAAAATTGGATAGACCTGAAAATCACAAATGTTATCAAAACAGTACTTGTCTGAAAACAGTCGTTAAAACACAGCAGACTTAAAGTCCAAAACACAACTATGATACCCATGTGAAATATATGATCACGATCAAATTGCCATTTCTTGCTTGTTCATTTTTAGCAACCATCAAACATAGGCGTATACTTACTTTTACCCGGCAGTTTATTGTATATATGATGTCTCTCAACTCACATTTGTATAAATTTGGGTGAAAATCTAATAATTAATTTATTGTGGCCTTGTATATGTAGAGGTTTTGTCAGAGAGTCATTGTTTTTACAAAACCATACAACTAGACTGATTATGATATTTAAGATATTATTTTCGTATGTGGTTAAAATTGAAAGTCATGAAAACAGAATGTTTGGTATGTTTGCTTCACTATGGGTAATTTCAGGATGAGACTTTCTTATGCTTACTGTTTCTGAAAAATAAAAAATTTAAATTGAATTGTTTTACATGTTGATAACAAGGCCTGACTTTTTTCTGTTTTTGGGGGGTTTTTTTACGGGTTTTTGGCACAAACAAATATTATGACAAAAAAAATTAAGATACATTTTTAACAGGTTTTAATTCTAATAGTGTTTTAAGTAATTGATATATAATATTATATTGATAATGACAGCAAGTGAAGTTTGTTTTTACAATTTACTGGTCAGCAAAATAAAAACAAAAACTGCTGTTCATTTATTTATTTTTTCACGTTTTAAGATTTTGGAGTTGGTGGATTTGTAAACCAAGCTTTAAAAAAATATCTGGCCTAAATAGATAATGTATGATATTTGTTTCATCTTTCAAAAAGTAGTGATTCAAATTCCTGCCCATAATCTATTTTGCTTTCTGAAACAACTGCACTGTTTAACTTTCAATTCTAACATGATTAAAAACATATTGTCTATTTCAATGATGGTGATTACAGAGTCTTTCGTTCTTATAGATATTTATGGTTTGTATTTAATAATCCCAATATTTCCCAACTAACTGCTGATACTATGCTATGCAATATGAGTCGGTGCCCTTAGTGTATAACATATATATTCTTAGGATAGGAGATATGGCCTGTTTGGCTAAATGTACATGTACTTACCTTTATAAAGAATAGGAAAATGCTATAAAATAAAACACATCCAGTGTTAGATTATCATTTTCATTATTTGTGGTCTGAATATTTTTGAGGGGGTAGTTTTAGTTAGGATTTAGAGAATGAATTTGGTGAATTTGATTGCATGGATTACAATAAGGAAAGGTCAGGTGGTTGATTGTTCAGCCTGCCTGGTTGTAAACTGGCAGAGCTTATACAGTTGCATACTGTCATGTTAACTGCTGTGATTTACAATTGATAACTCAAACAGAAATTGGTGGAGTTTTGCCAAATTTGGTTGGCTGAAAACTGGTAAAGTTTGATTGTCCAACAAATTGATCATTATTAAGGTCAAGGGTCACACTATCAGAATAGCTGCACGAGTACAAATCTTGGTGCTGTTCCACAAGCGTAAGTGGTGCTAAGGCGATCTTAACTCAAATACTTTAACATTGACTTACGACAGTCAAAGTGCTAAAGTCACATTGTGGAACAGGCCTCTGAACAATTGCTTCTTGTACTTTATTTTGCATTTAGGTTTGGAATGATAAGGGGGAGGTGAAATGGGGTTTAACGTTGTGTTCAAGATTGTTGCACTTAAATAGCGACGTGCATGCATGTACGTGTGTGTGTGTGGCTGCTGGTACTAGTCCAGACTAATGCCAGTTTTATAGTGCTAGACAAATGAGATACCATGCCACCATTTAAAAGTAATACCCTACTCAGACACAGTATACTGATTCTGTGCAAACTAGTCCTTGTTATTGCCTCTTAATGCCGCACGACAGGCAGGGTAACAAGTACAAAAAAATTTTTTACGTCTTTTGGTATGATACGTCCGGGGATCAAACACATGATCTTCTGCTCTTTGGGCAGATTCTCAATCCACTAGACCATGGAGGCACTCTCAAAATGTTAGAAAAACATGCCAATAAGACTATTTGGTGTGAAACCTTTAAATTGTTTCACCTGGACCCCATTATCCTTGACCCCATTATCCTTGACCTTGCTACAGCTATAGCTTGTGACCTCAAATAATTATCATCCCTTGATTCTCGTAGGTGAATATTTAGTCTTTTAAGGTGGTAATACTAAAATGAGTAATGTGAATTTTGTTATAGTTTGGAAGCTATGTTTTCAGAAGAAAATCCCAAATTGTAAACATGAATATAACATAAATATAAAAACTGAAGGGTCTTTCTTTATATTTATTCCTATACCAATCCATAAACTTTGTGCAAGCAGTGGTTTGATAAATAAACTTCCCTCAGCAAATTAAAACCTGTGAATATCCCGGTTAGAATAGGTTTTCAGCAACCCATGCATGCCGTAAGAGGCAACTAACTGGAACAGGTGGTCAGACTCGCTGACTTGGTTGATGCATGTCGTTGTATCCCAATTGCGTAGATCATTTATGACTAATACTTCAGTTTGAGGAAGGTGAGCTACAGACCCTGCTGCTGATCAGCCTTTCCTGCTTCTGCATCCCTTTAAGCACAAACATGTTTTATTTTTGTAAACAATGTGTATATGTTGTGTAATGGTGTTATTTTGTATATGTTGTATTTTTGTAGCCTGAATATGAATTAAGTTATTAAAGTTCTATCACTAGTCTATGCGATTGTTATTAACTCACTCATTCTATCCATCTATACTCTGCAACACCCTTACATACAGTTTATAGAGTTCAGTATTTAAACCTTGATTTTATTACTTATCATTCAAACATGAATTTGGAAAAAAATCAATGAAGATTTGTCAGGTTTCAAATTACAATAACCACCACTGATTGAAACAGCTTATTACCCAGTAGACATCCGCAATTTAATTATGTGCTGAAGTACATTTAAGGCAGAAACGTACATTTAAGGCAGATGGTGCAGGTACACATGGACTCAGTTCAGTCAGGTAATAAGTCCTTACTTGCTGCGTGGAGTCGCGAGATAGCGCAGGTACACATGGACTCAGTTCAGTCGGGTAATAAGTCCTTACTTGCTGTGTGGAGTCGCGAGATGGCACAGGTACACATGGACTCAGTTCAGTCGGGTAATAAGTCCTTACTTGCTGTGTGGAGTCACGAGATGGCACAGGTACACATGGACTCAGTTCAGTCGGGTAATAAGTCCTTACTTGCTGTGTGGAGTCGCGAGATAGCGCAGGTACACATGGACTCAGTTCAGTCAGGTAATAAGTCCTTACTTGCTGTGTGGAGTTGTGTCTCAAATCCTGGACAAATCAAACTATTTCTCTGGTCCCAGGAAGTTTAGACAACAGTACAACTGTACCATGTTTAGAACATAGAAATAGGTTACCTGATGTACCCTAGTTTACACTGTTGTTTACATATAATATAGCTTGTTCTACTTTACAATACCCGTGAAGATCCCGGCTAGAATTTGTCTTCACCAACCAACGGGATCGGTTGCTGTGACTCCGCGACTTGGTTGGACATACAGCAGGAATATTCCTAAATTCAGTGTTAAACAAACAAACAAAACTTAACTGTTCACAGAATGACAACAGCTACTCATCTTTCATCATCATTTTATTGGAGTGGCTATGTCAGCCCCTCTCAGCAAATAGTTCAGTATCACAGGCTTTTGAGTGTTTTCTTGCTCCAAATAACATCATCAACAAAGCAGATAGGGAAAACAAAAGGTTTTGAAGGGCATCTTACTGTTAACAACACAACAAACATATATCAGCCTTCATTCCCAATCCTTGAAGAGATCCCTATGAAGACTTCTCAAGCCCATGCAATATCTGGTAAAGGCAGTAAACTTTGTCAGTCGCAGGGACCATAGAAGCCACCAGTCTTTGGATGGTTCACATCAACAAACACTAGATTAATATAGCTGTCAGTGTTGCACCTCGGCTAAAGGACTGTGTATCACGCAATTATTTCACCAATGACCAGTTGGACAAATGATGAAATGCTTCCATCTGGCAACCATTCGGGCAGATGACAAGCTAGAAATCCAACCTGTATATCGCCGTCTGTAATGTACGTTGTTGGTACGTAGAACACGGGAGAATGACAGCGCATTCGTACTATAGAAGCTGTCTCAGTTTCTTCCTATCTGTTTGACAGTGAAGCTTTGCATTTTGTCTGTCATAACTGTTACTGCAACAATTTTTGTATATCAACACATCCCAATTTTGACCCCCCAATAATGGTCCCCCAATTTTGTTTGATTCCCTTATACATACTATATATTTTCTGCAAATGAACCACGCTTTGGCCTACATGGTCAAGACGGTTTGTTCAAACATTTTTAAACTTCAAGAGTTCAGGAAGTCAGTAACAACTTCAATAATAACAAGCAAATCAAGGCATTGCAGTCTTCGTTCAAGATGTTTCAGGGGGTAGATCAAGGTTTTTATAATCATGTTAAGAAATATTGCCTGTTTAGTCAAGAAATAGAAAGCAATTTCAATCCACCAAGATCGTCACTAAAACTTCTTCATAATCACTTGTATCATTATTTGTGGTATCACAAAATTTACTGGTGCCCCAATTTTGAAGGGAACCCAGGTGCAGTGGAGCTTGTAACCTTGAACCATGACCTTGGTGCAACACTGGCTGCTAGATTGCAGTTCAACTCCTTTGGTCCCTGCAGCTTCATGAAAACAAAACAAAGCACATTTTACAATACAATAAATACTGGTTTCTCTCCTACATTCACAAATATACAAGAACAGAAAAAGTTGCACAAGCCTTCAATATACACAAACATGGAACATTTACAAACGTTGACCAAACTCACCAAATTTGTTCAACTGCATAGTTCAATTTTGGAATGAATCATGAAATCATGCAATATGAACATAAAACAATATACTACTCAAAAGAAATTAAAGAACATGACAAGTTAGCTATAGTAATATGAAAGAATCAGGTGTTCTTTAACTTCTTTTGAGTAGCATAAGTAACATGAGTTTTCACTGAAAATGCAAAAAAACGTATTCAATGGCATTCAAAGCTATCAGAATCAGTTCCCTGTTTCTATTTATAAATTAATCAACATCACTCTTTGTACAATGAGCTTTGTGAGACATGTAGATCCCGTTCTGTGCGGTGGATGAAGAAAGGTGTACAAGCACCCCACTTCACCCAGTGATTGTAGACTGGTAAATGCAGAGCTGATCCGTCTAAGTCTAGCTGGTCTCATCTCCATAGTAGCACCTTGTGTTTGCATAGAGACCAACACCACTGGAGTACAATAGTACCCATATTGCCAAATCATTATTCTCTTATTCAAGATATAACTAAACCAGAACCAAAAGTATTGCTGTAACAGAAGCTTATTTGAAAACACTTTTCAAGGTTTCACCTTGACCGACACAACTAGGGGTACGGAGGACCCCCAATTACTCATTTCAAGGGTCCCCTCAGGAAATATAAGTTGTTATATAAATTAATGAAAGGGTGTAGTGTACCGTACTGTAAGATTTAATATATACTTTAATCACTTGAGTTTTGTATTTCTTTTCAAGAATTTGGTTTAATGTGGGAATATGTTTCGGCATCCATTCTATACATTTGTGCGTACTTGAGGCACATTTCTGTGTCGCTCAGGACACTGCCATTTAATACTTATGTCGTAGCTTGACTTTAAATATGAATCTTATTTTTAACTAAAAAATTAAGCAACACCTTTTACCTTTAATTTAAGATCTTTGCTTTTTGAGAAAAAACAAAATAGCCTGACTTCTTGTCATTAATGAACTCATTAAAATCTGTAAAACAAGACAAATTAATTTGGCCTTCTGATCCCTGTACATCCAAGAAGATCCTAAATGCACTATTCTGGTTATTCTTCCCCCTACCGAGGTACTCGTACACCTGGACAAGGTAAGCACCATCCATTCTTGTTTTTATACATTCCATGGATCTCTTGGAAATAGTGACATATCTTTGATCTAATTTTGATAAATATCGAAGATATCAACTGACGCATGCTGTTACTGGGTACAACAAACACGCACTGTATGTTTCTCAAAATGGTCGCAAAACTGCATCATATATGATACAAAGAAGCTGAGGAAGGGTAGCCCACTAACATGTACCCACAACATGCACAAGAGATGATTATATTTAATCACTGATACTCAGTTTAACCTCCATCATATCTTTCTGAAAACTCTTAATGTTCGAGATACAAGCTGCACCATATAAGATAAAAATCCTGAATTTTCCACCCTCAAGGTAGCACAATTTTATGCATTAACAAACTCAACTGGCCCCCCAAATATTCCTGATTGCAAACCAATTTTGTAGTCCTAACCTGACTGTGATTGCTCACACAATTTTAAGTGACATCAAGTGAGGGAGTGGGGTTTTATGCCACCTTCAGTAATATCACAATGCAATCTCATTAAAATCAGATCTTAGTTCTCGCTACCGCAAAACAAAGATCTGAGGACATCCCATTAGGGGTCACGTCAGAACGACCTTTCATCGGACCAATCAGAACTTGCTTACTAGATCATGAAAGTGACTGTCGGAATGTGATTTCATTTCATGCAACGTAGAAAACCTTAACACGGGGTGTTCCGGACGATAGGTACAGGCTAAACGACTGAATCCATACAATCTAGACCATCTATTAGCCATTCCAGAATGTTCTTTTGTTCAGGTTTCAACTTTTTAATCGAGTATTTGTCAAAATATGTTTCGAAGCGTAGTTGCCAATTTGAAATTAGTGCCGTAAAGCACGAGAAAGCTGCCTTCTGATTGGCTAATGTCGACTTCTTGTCAGTCATTCCATTGGTCGGTCAAAGTTCGCGAAAGGTCGGTCTGACGTGACCCGTAATGGGATGTCCTCAGATCTTTGTTTAGCGGTAGCGAGAACTAAGATCTGATTTTAATGAGATTGTATCAAAATGGGGACCCCAGAAATGGGTTTCACACATTGCAGCCACATGTGCAATTGAACCCATGCCTTTGGTGTGACTAGCAAATGCTCTAACACCGAGGCTACCCAACGCTCCAAGCGATACCCAAGTATCCCACAAGGACTAGGTGAATGCACATCAGACTCCTGTTCCACAAAGCGATCTTAGCGCTAAGAATGTCGTAAGCCTATGTTAAGGTATGGGAGCTACGATCATCTTAGCGCTAAGATTGCTTTGTGGAACAGGGCCCAGTTCTTATTCCTAAGTGACAAGACTGGTGAGAGAACGAATGCCGCTCAATGCTGTGTGGTGATTGAGAAGTAGATTTGGCAATACATGTGCCTGTTATCTCCATGCCTTGTCTGGCTTCTTCTTGGTCTTGGCCGCCACATTCACCTTAGCTGTAGGTTGAGGTTTGTTTGGCTTGCCTGCAATTCAGGTAACATGCTGTTATTTCAAGACATTTTCAAAGGATCATGTTTCTGCAAGTGAGTGAAAGATGTCAACACAGTAGTCAGCAATATTCAATTTTATCATGTTTGTTGTTTAACACCGCACTCAGCAATATTCCACCTATACGACAGCGGTCTATAAATAATTGAGTCTAGACCAGACAATCCAGTCATTGACATCATAAGCATCGGTCTGTGCAATTGGGATACGATGACATGCATCAAGCCTGACCACCAAATCCCTTTAGTCGCCGCTTAATAAAACTGATCAAGGTCTTCACTGACCACCTCCAGCAGGAAAACATCACCAACTGTAAGTCTTGATCTTTCCCCATAGAGTGGGACATAATCCAGACATGTGTACGCTAATATCCAAGGAAGCCCGCTAGTTAGCCTAACTGAGCCAGATGCTGCCTGAGGAGTGGACAAAACTCCCTCAAATTGTCATGGGGATACTGATTTGGACCATGCCACGCTGTAAAATAAACAGATGTTTGACCAACTGTGGGGGCATGACCCAATATTGATCAAATCACCTCAGATTTATTTTTTTACTACACATCCGTGTCACCTTTTTTGGTTGTTTGCATCTGTACAACATGTTTACTGCCAACATGTTCTGTTGATTGTCATGTTACACCTGGTCCTTCATAACAGGACGGAGATAATCGTAGATGGGACACTTATGCTGTTGTTCACTATCTGTATTGTCATGTTACACCTGGTCCTTCATAACAGGACGGAGATAATCGTAGATGGGACACTTATGCTGTTATTCACTATCTGTACTGTCATGATGAAATGACTGGCATGAAGAAACATATGGACGTTCAATTCCCGTCTCCAAGGTAACCAAACACATGCTTTGAGATTATGAAGCCCTGGTTTGTATTGTGAACAGGACCTACAGGAACACAGATTTCTTACCTGTGCTGGTTGAAGCCACTGTGGATTTGGATACAGACTGTCTTCTTGTCTTATCTGATTTCTCTGGCGCTGTCTTTGGTCGTTCTTTTTCATTTCTGTAAAGATTTTGCACTCAATATTAGTTCTTTTCTACCAGGAGTCAGCAATCAGCAAGATAACAGCTATATCACAGTAACTATAGTATATATGATAAGTCTGGACCAGACAAACCAATTGCTGATATGAGAAACGTTGACATACAGACACTGGGCCTCATTTAAGTCCAAGCTACTGATAGCCTTGGGTGCTAAGAATGAATTCAACCTCAGCAATCTTCCCTACATGGAGTTGTCCTCCTTTGGAGTAGTGAGCTTGTGAGAATAAGGCACTTTTCACACAGATTACATCTCTAATAATGAGATAAATACACATCTCTTTGAACAGTATTACAGTTATATCATAGCATGTCACTTTAATGTGAGAGGAAAACTAAAAGTGTGACATTTACCGCTTTGATTATCATCATAGGTGTTGCCACCCCTAAGGGAAGCAATTCTGCACAGCAAATTGCAGTGCTTTAGACAATTGGGCCGCAAGTGCCTCCAAAATAGACAGTGAAATATTCAGCACTAGCCCTCTCACCAAATGCAGTTTGTCCATTGTTAAACAGACCAATTGTGACGATTCTGTTGCCAAGTGTGTTATCATTACAAACATTTTCCGTACAGTAAAGGGGGATAAGTTAACATCAAACAAAGGGGAATAACTCTGGTTACCTTGGTGAGTTTCCCTCTGACCTGATGGGTGAGATTTGTCCCTGCAGTGGCCTTAAAGCTCTGGAGAAGAGAAAGTGGTAGTGGCGTCTTAGAGGACCACTGTGTGAAAACAAGGAAGTAGCTTACCATCCACTGCGGGCAGTGCCACAATTATCTACATCTTGTGATCAAACATGAGAGAGTGAATATGCTAGGCAATTATCCAATCCAATGGTTTATAGCATGAGTAACAAAACATGACACTTGAGGCACTATTAACCTGACCAAAGTGGAGAGCTTGTCCTTCAAGATAATTAAATTCTATCCAAACACAGCAGCCATTGGGGCCAATAGATCCCCATTTTGTTTCCCAATTACATCAAGCATTAGATACAACGGACCGTTTCCGCCCAAGAGTCATGTGGAAAGTGTTTACACAAAGGAAAACAGACTGAAACAAAGGAAAACAGAATGAAACAAAGGAAAATATTAAGGAATTCAAAAACAAAATTCACCGTTTAATGAAATACGTACAGCATCTGAAGTATTTCTTAAGATTTATAATACAGTCAGCTGGCACCCAAAATAACTAGAGTATGTTTGAGCAATGGTGTTTCCACTTTAATTTAACAAGAGTAAAGTGTATCACAGCTCCCCTCACCTCAGATCAGTTGCGTGAGCTCGCGGACTGCTAGTTGTAGGTGGCGCTGTTCGCGGGCGGGCAGGGACAGCACCGAACACAGACACCTCTGCTTCTCTGGACACAGTCAAGGGAACACAGCAAACCCCCTTTCAGTCTAACATAAACAATAATTCGAGGGTCTTGACACTACTTTAGACAGCATAATGCTGATAATGCTAAATATGGATGAATGACTATCACAACTAAGATCGATTGTTTGTTTTCTTGTTTGTTGTTTAATGCTGCACTCAGCAATAATCCAGCTATGTGACAGCGGTCTGTAAATAATCGAGTCTGGAACAGACAATCCAGTGATTGACAAAAGCTTCGATCTACGCAACTGGGATACGATGACATGAATCAACCACCCAATCCCGTTAATCGCCTCTTACGACGCATTTTACTGCAAGCATGGGTTGCTGAAGACCTATTCTACCCCGGATCTTCATGGGTTTCACACCTAAGAACACCTATCGGATGGTATTGTAGATAAGGTAACAATGGTATCAACTTAACTATATTCTAAAATGAGAACGGTGGAAATAGAAAACGAGAAATATCAAGGGATATCGAGAGATGTTATATTCTGTGTGTCGAGAGTCACATTGCACCAAGTCAGATCAGCTGATAGGCATTTAGAAGCTGGAAGAACATGAATCCATGACACTTTTTATGGATAGCAGCTTCTTTTATTCTTGGTCACGACGTTTCAGAGCTACTTCTTGCTCCTTCATCAGGTGAATGATTGTGTTAGTGTCAGCAAATGAAGCACCAGGTGTGTATTTCTCCTTGACACTCACTATTTAACTACGAATGAACACTACAAACAGATGTGACACTGATCGGTTAACTGAAGGCAAGTGTCTTCCTACGTGACCCTTCTATCATACGGATGGACTATGAAATGTCAGGTTGTCCTGTGTCTTGTACAAGGTCCTATTAGGCTTTAATGAATTCGTTATTAGATTTTCATCGTTGCCTGCCCCACTACTAAATACCACACATAATGGCATCACATCATATTATTGAACAAAGAAAATGCTTCATTTGTTGCTTATTCTTTATGAATTATTAAACTAAAGTCCTGTGTGACAACAATCAACAATCCCTAACCTGGTTTAACACCTTTGTGTTGAAATTGATCCTTCTGCACCTGTAGGAGATCAGCACTGGCTATTGCCATCAATGTCTGTGTTGAGAAGGACTTGTAAAGAAGCTATCAATACTACTAGCATAAGACAGTGTAGTAATTGTTACCATTGCTTACTGGTTGACACGGCGGATATCTTCGCTCGAGAATGTTTAGATGACACAGACACGGTCACTCACGGAAACAGTCCACTTCCCCACTATTGATAAAAGAATTAGAAAGACCCCACTGGCCAATACCTGTGACACTACGTCAATGGGATCCTGGATTACTGAAGTGATGTGTTTGTCATTAAAGGATACTGGGCTTTCCTCTTCCTCTCCATAGCCTTGAGTGTAGCAGTACTGATCCTGCGTTGGGAGGCCCGGACACTTCCCCCACTTGCCTACAGGGAGATAACAATAATGAACATTTACATTGCACTTAAATCAGATGAGAATGGCTGCTCAAAGCACTACAAGAAAGAATCATTAAAATAATTAATGTATAATTATGCATAGAAAATGAACATGAAAAAATACAAAAGGAGACAGTAATGAGGTTTTTAACCACTGGCCCCTAATCTAGTCTGCTCTTACAACACTGTTTGTTTGTAGCTGCACTCAGCAATATTCCAGCTATATTCTGAAGGACTGCAAATATTGAGTCTGGACCAGACAATCCAATGATCAACATTGTGAGCAACGACTCATGCCATCTGGGAACAATGTCACACAATCAACCAAGTCACCACTGGACCCATTAAGTCGCCTTTTATGACCTGGGGCCCGTTCCACAAAGCAATCTTAGTGCTATGATTGTCGTAAACCTATGTTAAAGTATGGGAGTTACGATTATCTTAGCACTAAGATCACTTTGTGGAACGGGGCCCCTCGGGAACAATTCTAAGGCGGCATCCCCACAGGGTCTTACAATATGAGGCATATGGGACTACTGCATGGATAAAGAAGACACTATTCAACATGTTTATCAGTGAATTAGTAAGTTTATATGTCACTGTTGGCAACATTTCAGCAAATTCAAGGTAGGCAACAAGAAGAACAAGCTTCACACATTGTACCCCTGTAGGGAATCAAACCCAATACACCATATCTTTTTGATTGCTTTACCATGCTAAGTTTAACCACTGGATTATCTGCCCATTCCCTAAACAACAAAACATCACTGCACTAACCTTGGTTCTCTTTTCATCTCGTAATTCTCTGGTGTGGGCAATCAAAGACATTCTCTCTGCCATTGGGATCTCAAAAAATATTTCATGTATGTCCAGTAGAGCTGCCTGCAGCTGGAACATCAAAGAAACATCTATACAAGCCGTAACAATGATTAAGTTGCACAAAAGACAAATGTTGAAAAATTTCTTCAAAGATAACAAAATATGATAAAAAGACATTAACGAGTGAGTGAGTGAGTGAGTGAGTGAGTGAGTGAGTGAGTGAGTGAGTGAGTGAGTGAGTGAGTGAGTGAGTGAGTGAGTGAGTGAGTGAGTGAGCGAGCTGCCTTCAACAGTATTACAGTTACATCAAGGCATGTCTGCTTGATGTGGGAGGAAACCCCGAAAGATGCAGGTCTTAGACATCAACCTCTTTGGTGAAACCAACAAGGATGGGCATGGTGCTGACATACCTTAAAACATATTCCAGCCTTAGAAGTATTGGGAGTTTGACAAGAGGACTAGTGTAACCCTTATTTCACTAGTCTTGACAGTTTGTAGCTCGTCCTGTTAGAACAAGACAAATATGTTAACAATGTTTGCATGTTCTATCAGTTTTGATCAGTTGCAATTTGTGGCAAAAGTGAAGCATTGAGAACTGGTTCCACATTATAGCACTTATCATTGCATTTTACCTTGTCCTCAGCACTATTTAGCTGTCTTGGGCGAGTAGACTAGCATGAATTTCGAAGGCTGATAATCTGGGCTTACCACAGATTTGAAACCCCCGATCAAAGGTTTCTTGTGTCATAAAGGAACCCGCCGCAGCGCAGCATACTGCAGCGCCTTAAATAACTAGGCCATACATTCCCCCTACGCTAAGTAGTTATTCCGGGTAATACCTGTGCGATGATTCTCTCCAGTAAGTCTCGGTCCTGGTTGGAGAAGTTTCCTCTTTTGATCGGTGTCTCAGATGAAAATGAAAAGGCGAAGTCCCTTGTATCCTGAAATATGGAACCAAGTCTTGTGAGAAGCAAAAGAATGCTGGGGACCTACTTACAACGAGCAAGAGTGCTGGGGACCTACTTACAACGAGCAAGAGTGCTTGGAACCTACTTATGGCAAGCAATAGAGTGCTGGGGACCTACTTACGACAAGCAATAGAATGCTGGGGACCTACTTACAACGAGCAAGAGTGCTTGGGACCTACTTACAACGAGCAAGAGTGCTTGGAACCTACTTATGGCAAGCAATAGAATGCTGGGGACCTACTTACAACGAGCAATAGAATGCTGGGGACCTACTTACGACAAGCAATAGAGTGCTGGGGACCTACTTACGACAAGCAATAGAGTGCTGGGGACCTACTTACGACAAGCAATAGAGTGCTGGGGACCTACTTACGACGAGCAATAGAGTGCTGGGGACCTACTTACGACGAGCAATAGAATGCTTGGGACCTACTTACGACGAGCAATAGAATGCCGGGGACCTACTTACGACAAGCAATAGAGTGCTGGGGACCTACTTACGACAAGCAATAGAATGCTGGGGACCTACTTACGACGAGCAATAGAGTGCTGGGGACCTACTTACGACAAGCAATAGAATGCTGGGGACCTACTTACGACGAGCAATAGAGTGCTGGGGACCTACTTACGACAAGCAATAGAATGCTGGGGACCTACTTACGACGAGCAATAGAGTGCTGGGGACCTACTTACGACGAGCAATAGAATGCTGGGGACCTACTTACGACAAGCAATAGAATGCTGGGGACCTACTTACGACGAGCAATAGAGTGCTGGGGACCTACTTACGACAAGCAATAGAATGCTGGGGACCTACTTACGACGAGCAATAGAGTGCTGGGGACCTACTTACGACAAGCAATAGAATGCTGGGGACCTACTTACGACGAGCAATAGAATGCTGGGGACCTATTCTAACTGGTAACTGCTATTAAATGGTATCCTTGTGGTCTTCTTATATATACAGTCTGTCACATCAACAAAAACTGTGACAGGACTAACGACTAAACTTGAATTGATATCACGACATGACAATGATATTATCATGCACTAGTGTGGTGTTTGCATTCTTGGCAAGATATTTAACAAGCTGGATCAGCTTTTTTGGCAAGTTTAATCAACTAATTTTGGAAGTTTGAACTTTCCGTTTGACATGTATAATCAGGGATTTCAACAAAAGTGATCAGGTATTATAGCAAGTTAGAATGAATTCTAATTTCTAAAAATATCTCATTTGCTTACCAGTCTGGAATTCTCTATACAAATAAACATTGATGAACATTGATGAACATTGATGAACATTGATGAACTGCATCTGTATAAGACAACCTGCACCTGCACCCTGATCTTACCTTGATAGTGACTAGAAGTTCCTGCACCTTCTCGGACTGCAAGAGTCGACGAGTCAGAAAACCCTTGGCAACAGCACAGATTCGATCAAACTTGGGCTTCATGTGTGGAGCGAAAGCCTAAACAAAACAATGTCACATTCAAGATAATCTAAGGGAATGATTGTTAACATACTGGAATTACATAATCTAAAGCCACATATTTTTAATAGGTTAGGTTAATTGATTTGACAGACCAACAAAATGAGAGAATACTGAGCCAAACAAAAACTTTATCTTTACTCGTCCAAAAGCCAGTGAACCATACAATGTGAAAAGTGTGGCCCTATGCAACTTCAATAATGAAATTCAAAGATGAAGTAGAATATTAAAATCCGCAAAAAAGGTTCTAAAACAATACACATTTTATATGAAACCTTCTAGAAATACACCAAAATCAGTTAATGAACTTGATTATTAGTTCAGAGAGAGAAAAAGATGCCAAAATGAGACACCCACCTCATCCGGGACAACCACAGGCCCCACTCTGCGTGGAAAAGGCGCCAACTTCATCGGTGATCGAAGAACAGGTCTGTACACTTTGGGACTTGATGCTTCTCTCTTGGTAAACAGAGCTTGTTTAGTCGTACTCCTGTTGAGTGAATTCATGCTGTCATTATGACTCAGTGACGGATGTGACCTGTGATGAGAGACATTCTGCACCTTGATCTCAGTCTGATCTAAGTCCTCACTGCTCTGGCTCAGCATCTTCCCCTTCTTTATCATTTCAGGAGCATTCTCAGCCAGGAAGTCCTGCTGTTCCCTCAGCCGTTGTTGGTGGGCCTCCACCTCCTCCTGCAGCAGCAGCTGCTCCCGACGCTGCTGCACAAACAACTCCTCCAGCTCCTGCCGCTGCTGCGATATCATCTGTTGGCGGAACATCTCCATCCTGCTTGAGTGGAGCTTCAGGATGCTCTCGGGGTCAGCATCCGGCATGGACTCCATGCTTTCTATGAGGGACTGGACAATACTCACACTGTCCAGTACCTTGTCATTCAACATCCCATCGCAACCTATTTGAGGTTCACCTGCAGAAGTTGCTGGAAAAAGTCCTTGTGTCAAATTTTGTCTTTGAACATGGGACAGGTATCTATTGATGTGGTCGACTTTAGCATCAGCTTCTGGACCTGGTGGCATTGGAATATTGATTGGTTTGATCTCCTCTTCAACTTCTTCATAGTCCAGCTGCCTCTGTAATGGTTTGCTTGCACTCTCCTCTGCATCTGGAGGCACATTCATTACCTGGTTTGGAGGGGTTTTCCTAGCTTGTACAGTGAGTCCATGCGAGCGCAGCAATACTGGAGAAGGCTCGCTCAGTGTATAGGAACCCTTCCGAACATGTCCTTTCTTGAATACTTTGTTCTCCACTTCATTTGGTTCTGATTTCTGGTTAAAAGATGAATGTTCCTGTTCCCCGTGACTTACATCAACTCGTGGAGCATCACTCCCAATAATGTTTCTAATGAAATGCCCTATGTCTGAACTAGCTGAATTAATAGGTAAAGGACCAGAAAAACAGCTGCCATCTTTTGACACAGTCATGTTGTCATTCCTGAGGGTGCTACTCTCGGATTCAGATGTCCCGCTGGTAAAGTTGGACTTGACAGAGGCTTGTGACTCAGAAACACTCTGCTTAATACTGGATGCTTGACTATCACTGAGGTTATTATCTGACTGACATGATAAGTAGGAGTCAGTGACACTAGGCTGGATGCTGTGGGAGCTACCTGATGCTTGGCTTGAATCGACTCTGCCACTGGACCTGACTGATGCTTGGCTTGACTCTACCCTGTCACTGGACCTGACTGATGCTTGGCTTGACTCTACTTTGTCACTGGACCTGACTGATGCTTGGCTTGAATCGACTCTGCCACTGGACCCGACTGATGCTTGGCTTGAATCGACTCTGCCACTGGACCTGACTGATGCTTGGCTTGAATCGACTCTGCCACTGGACCTGACAGATCCTTGGCTTGACTCTACCCTGTCACTGGACCCAACAGATGTATAGGACTCTGTTGAAGCAACGTACGCACTGTGGTGGGTGCCTCTCCTTGACACAGGCCTCTGTTCATTCTCCTTGTCGGAGGACGATACTTCCCCATCCTGTGAATACCCTTGGAAAGGAACACTTGGATCTCCTAGTGGAGATGGAGTAGATTCCCCATCAGGACTGAACTCAACCCGACTCAACATACTTCCATTCTGCCTTAAATGTAATGCTTCAGACATTGGGTGGACATCAGATTCTCTGGCCTCAGTTATTGCTGATGGTTCTGTGGTTCTCTGTTTCTCGGGACTCGGGCCTCTTGGGCTGTTAGTTGGTGTCTCCTCTAGCTTCCTCAGAGTTATATTATCTTCCACGGACTGTCTCGTTATTTCAGTAACAAAGTTGGCAAAATGTACAGTGTTCTTCAATGACTTGGGACTACTTTTGTTACTTTTCTGACTATCAACCGTACTGACAGAGCAATTGGCCGAACTGTGACTGGTGTTGGCGGTGCTGGCAGAGTCATTGGGAGAGTGTCCACTACAATCAGTCTGAACATCCGAGTTGACATTGCTCACAAATCCAGACGTGGAATTAGCATCTTGTGACACCTCCACAATTGTGTCCTGGCTATCATGGAACACACTGGATGTCTCCGAATTGTTCTGGCTGTAGTTGGCTGGGTTGTAGAACCTGGCCACAGAAGGCTGAGGAGAACCGAGGGAAAGTTTCAAGGCCGCTTGTCCAACCTCGCTCAATTCACTACTGCTTGTCGAATTTAAACTCTGACTCTCTTTCATATTCAGAGCTTTCGAAAGCCTAGCTAAAGTCTGTGATATCTGTTGCTGTTTTACGGAGGTCAGGGGGATTCCACTGAAATCTGTAGGCAAGGAAAAATCCTCCAAAGAGGCCAAGTCTGATGACAAAGAGTCTAACGTCATCAACCCGGGATCATCCCCTGGGTAGTGCTGAGGATCCATGGTGGCAAAGGTCATTGCAGCGTTGGTGAGCGTCTGCAGTGGCGTGTGATCCTGTCCAGTGCTACACAAGGTGCTGGGGTGAGAGGTCAGTGTCCCCGGGGGTATGTGTGGACGATAACCAGGGTCCCTCACCATGCTCTGATCATCAGCCGAGTGGGAAAAGTTGGATGATAATGTGTCCAGGTCACTCGTATCTGTTGGCTGGAAACAGTTATCTTATTTAATCATAGAACGGCCCTACTGTTGTGTCAAGACTCATTACAGTAAAACCCTGTTAAACTGGATGTATTCCTAGTGGAATTATCCCATCAACTATTTTCTGGGTAATTTTCAGGAGGTGACTAGTATTTCATTGATAACAGGAAGAGGCCCAAATGCTTAGTGTAACATTATTGCTATGAATGCATTTTTAAAATTCAATATTAAAATACCTCTTAATTTAGGAAAATAAGAACTGTAATAAAAATCCTAACTTTGAATATTTTCTCCCAATTTGCCTGCCAAGGGAACTCATTTTGGAATGCTAGATAAACCACTGTCCAGTCTAATAGAGTTTCACTGTATTTCAGCATATTTTACTCTAGATAGCTTTGGCAACTATTACTTACTTGTAGGCAAAAGTTCTTTTATCAGTGTTGAGAATATATTCAGATGTATAATTATTCATTTAATTCTACAGTTGTGACACAGGCCACACTAATGCTTGTGCAATTTCAAAATTTCATCATTGCCACTCGCATCAGGATATTTCTTATTTATATCAATTTTGTTAAGAAATGTCAACAAATGTCTACCTACCTGTGTATCATTGACAATATTCTGTGCCCTGGCCATAAGTCGACTTCGTTGACGAGATTTGATTCTCTTCTCGGTGAACTTGGCTTGGCGTTTCAAGGTCATCATCTCCTCCTTCCGTTTGACTGTCATCTGTATCAAGACTTGGAGTAAGTCTACTTGTGCTACATGAGGGCATTATGTCATTGTATATCACAATATTTGATGTATCAGTGATTTTTCTACATCGATATTGTATCAATACAAATTAATGAATATTGATTCTAAATTAATAATTCACTGCCACAGATCTGTATTAAGATTACCATGGTTGACAGTGAGGAGGCAATTCCATATTAAATATCTGGATCATCCTAGTTCATGTTTAGCATTAAACATGCAGGGCCCACATGCACAAAACGATCTTAGCGTTAAGACTATTGTAAGCCTATGTTAAAGTACGGGAGTTAAGATCATCTTAGCGCTAAGATAATTTTGTGCAAGTGGGCCCAGGTCTACAGAGGTAATTATTATAAATACACATACAGAATAATTGATCTTTTTACTCATCGATATACCAATATAGTGTGATACTTCTGGGTTGATATATCAAAACGAAAATTTCCAATCAATGACACCCCTAGCGTTATGATCCAGCAAACTGTCGAGGCATTACAATCACACATGGCTGAACTACAGCTATAACCAGTGTCACCGATGGGTTTTATATCCGTCGGCCATCATCACAGGGTCCGGCAACACAAAACAAATACCAGACTGTGAGACATTACCAAATTTTACTGGTCTGTTCCATTATAACTTCTTACATTCTTATCGAATAGAGTACTGTTATCTAAAAGAAAACATCATTGACAGTGTTGTCTGCTTTTTACTGGTGACCATACTCTCGAATAGTCATGATAGTGTCACACATTGTTCAACGAGAAAGTGTCACCAGTGAAATCAAATCAACCATTGACGACACTTCAACTGTCTGATAGATATTTGCTTCCTTAGTGGAGATCCCTGCATGTTTCTTTCTTCTTTAACGTCACACTCAGCTATATTCCTGCTATACGACGGTGGTCTATAAATAATGCAGTCTGGACCAGACAATCCAGTGATTGACAGCATGAGCATCAATCTACACAATTGAGATTCGGTGACATGCATCAACCATGTCAGCGTGTCTGACCACCCAACCCCATTACTTGACAAACATGGGTTGCTGAAGACCAAGTCTAAGACGGATGTTTTCAGGAGTATATTACTCATAACTTTAATGTTATATTTTATGATAACACTTATCTAAAATTATTTTTTTATGACATTAATCTGTGTTCAGTTTTTCAATTTTTGGTGTGTGAATAACCAGTACAACCTTAGGGCTGAAAGAATGTACAATGTAGGGTCAGATAATGCTTACAAAGTACATCATATTTATTAGCAGACACACGGACTGACAGCCCAAGACATATTTTGGTAGTCAACAATGGTCAAAATCTGTAAATACTGGAGAACAGAAATGCTGATCATGCTCATAATATGGTTAAAATTGGATTCAAAGGAAATCAGAATATCTATCTACTTACAACAGGAGGCAAGATTGGGATGCCATTGAACTTGATGCAGGAGACAAAGTCATCGCTGGAATTGGTGGAAGTGGAGCCCATGTGATCATATCTGTCCAATGAGAGCCTCTGACTCTCGAAGTAGCGGATCAGGTCGCCCATCATCAGCAGTGGAGGGGAATTCTAAAACAAAACAATATCTATCTACAGAGACCATATACCATATACCGGTAAATACTATGGTCTCTGGGTGGTTGGGTGGTTAAAGCATTCGCTCGTCACGCCGAAGACCCGGGTTCAAATCCTGACATGGGTACAATGTGTGAAGTCCATTTCTGGTGTCCCCCATCGTAATATTGCTAAAAGCGGCATAAAACAATACTCACTCACTATGGTCTCTGCCATCTAAAACATTACACAACAATGTTCAAAATTGGAGGGTTACCTGGGTTGTAAATTGTTAGTGGTTATATTATTTAAACATGTTAAATCTAGGGACATCAAATGTTTTTTAACTGTTAATAACATTAGGGTTATGACAACAGACAAGTACCCCATTACTGTTAGGCCTAATTATGAACGAAACAACACCTGTAGTAAGAAATCACTGATCAGGTCACTGTAAACATGTTAGATTGCAATCTCTTCTTACACACTACAAACATTTTAAAACACTACCAACATTTTCAAATCTGTGCCATCATTCAATAAACATGATAAACCATAAAAGCTTACCGTATACTTAATTAAGTACATGTTAGGTGCCGTCATGGCTGGGAATCAGTATATTCCAGTACAGGAATCCTGTTGGTGCTTGTGTGTTGTCATGAGCCAGTGTTGAGGAATATCTACCCTCTGTGAGTAAGCCCTGACTGGTGACAGGGGGCACACAAAGAGGCCTGCCTAATTATAGAACGCCTGTATGGACAAAGCTGGCAACAGTTCAAACTCCCCCTCGGTGTAATGTCTACATGTCTGACTCACAATACCTGAGGCCAACCCACAAGGACGGTCCACTCAAACTCGGGGGTGGTGGCATGGTGTGGACAGGACAACAAGTAAACAAACTGGATATACTTGAATACATCCTTTGGTTGTGTTTTATTAAGAAATTCGTCACTGATCTAGGTGTGACCCATCTGGGAATATTGCCAGTCATTTGTCATCAGGAAGAACACTGTCATACCTTCAAGAAACACAAGAAAGAGGTGTATCGCGTCAAACAATTATTAAAATATTTAAATGTATTGTAATCACACATGACTACCATGTTCGAATGCAGAAGTTACAGATAATTACAATATCAGCATGATCAGTAAACAAGACGATTTACTGAAAATGTTAAATGACAAGTCAGGAATAAACTACACATGGAACAGATGTCCTCTGTTGACGACTGTCTACCTGTGTATGACATGATAATACCAATCTCATTAAAATAAGATCTTAGTTCTCACTGTCGCTAAACAAAGATCTGAGGACATCCCATTACGGGTCACATCAGAGCGACCTTTCATCTGACCAATCAAGGCGTCGCTTACCAGATCTTAAAAGTGACAGTCGGAATGTGTTTTCTAATCATGCAACCTCGAAAATGTTAACGCGGGATATTCCGAACGACAGTTACGGCCCATACGACAGATTCTGTATCGCTTCCGTAGGATAAACATTTGAACAGAGGAAGCATTGCACAATACATGGAAAGCACTGCCATACAATCTCAACCATATATTAGACATTTCGGAATGTTCGTTTGTTCAGTTTTCAAAATTTTAATTGAGAACTGTGTCAACATATTTTTCAAGGGTAGTCTGTAATAAAAGTCGCCAGGTTGAAACAAGTGCCGTAAAGCTCGAGAAAGCTGCTTTCTAATTGGCTGATGTCGACTTCTTGTTAGTTGTTTCAGTGGTCGGTCAAAGTTCGCGAAAAGTTGTTCTGACGTGACCCGCATTGGGATGTCCTCAGATCTTTGTTTAGCGGCAGCGAGATCTGACTTTAATGAGATTGTGATAATACAGTCACCACTGCGTTGTGCTGTCAACTGATCATGCTGATAACTGACATGGTATGATCATGATGATAGTTGGTTGGTTAGTTGTTTTACGCCGCACTCAGCAATATTCCAGCTATATGACGGCGGTCTAAATAATCGAATCTGGACCAGACAATCCAGTGATTAATATCATGAGAATTGATCCACGCAATTGGGATCGATGACATGCATTAACCAAGTCAGCGAGCCTGACCACCCGATTCCGTTAGTAGCCTTTTACGACAAGCATAGTCACCTTTTACGGCAAGCATGGGTTGCTGAAGACCCATGATGATAGTTACTGGATAGGAACAAATAATTATTTAGAAGTGCACAGGTATCAACCCCATGGAACTGACACAATATTTTCTCATTCTGTTCCAATATTTGTCAGTCTACTTGTCTAAAATATTCTTATGGCGTAATTTTTCATACATTTTAGAGTTAATGTACTTCCCAGGCCATCATGTTACGATGACACACGATCAGCCAAGACACAAAGCCTGACCAACTCATCCACATTAGTTGCCTCTTACTACCAACAATACCAGTAACCGAAAAATAACCTATTCTAACCAGGTAAATTGGTTTGGCAATCAGGTTAAATTCTATCCCTTATGTTATTGGAAGTGCATGGCTTAGAAATAGATGTAAGATGGTTTGTTTGTTGTTTAACGCCGCACTCAGCAATATTCCAGCTATATGACGGCGGCCTCTAAATAATCGAGTCTGGACCAGACAATCCAGGGATTGATATCATGAGCTTTGATCCACACAATTGGGATCGATGACATGCATCAACCAAGTCAGCGAGTCTGACCACCCGATCCCGTTAGTCGCCTCTTACAACAAGCAGACGTAAGATGTAGATATAAGAGTCTATGCAACTTCTTCCTTTTGCCTTGTTATCATTACATCAAAGGTAAGTTGTGTTAGGTGATCAAATGTTTTTTGAAGTTGTTGACCACTCAAACCTTGATATTATAATATACTGTACTTGACGTAATAAGCGCCCAGGGCACTCTCAAAATTTTAAAAAAGGGGCTCTTATTAGAATATTATTTTTGTGAGAAAAAAAACAGAGTTGAAAGATCGTAAATTTAGTGGTTTATGCTGACAGCCTGAAATGTTTATATACGACAGATATATTTTTCCAGAATTTAATTGCCCATAATTAAGGGTGCATATAACACACGAGTGCGTTTTATACACAAATAAATAAGTCTTGTGTACATTGATCCATCGGAAGGGGTGCTAATTGGGATTGTTCACTAGCCAATTTAATATATTAGCAAATATCGCTGTTGAGGAGAGAAAATAATAAAAACAACAACATTGTTTCGGTTCATGTAACATGAACATTTAGCATAAACGACACATGCTTCGCGGAAATCAGATCGGTGCAGAAAATGAATTCTGACACGTGATCGTCGGATTTGGCTTTTTGTTCGTTGGAGCAAGACACGCTTTGCCCTCGTAGACCAATATTCGTGGTCTTTATAGAAACTAGTTGTCGTTGGACCAGTAATCGTGGTCTTTATAGAAACTAGTTGTCGTTGGACCAATATTTGTGGTTCTTAGAAACATAAAGTGTGTACTTGCACCTATAGTTAATTATTCATTCCTGCATTCGTGGTCATTGACCTCCCATAGTTTCTTTATTTTTCATTTAGAAGAGAATAACGTTTAGTTCCCCTATGTCATAGGAAGAGAATCACGTTTAGTTCCCCATATGTCATAGGAAGAGAATCACCTTAGTTCCCCATATTCATAGGAGTAAGTGAGTATGGTTTTACGCCACTTTTAGCAATATTCCAGCAATATAACGGCCAGGGGACACCACAAATGGGCTTCACACATTGTACCCATGTCGGGAATCAAACCCTGGTCTTCGGCGAGACGAGCGAACGCCTTAACTACTAGGCTACCCGACCGCCCCCCATTTTCATAGGAAGAGAATCACGTTTAGTTCCCCATTAATCATGTAATTTCAAGTGGAGTCAAAAAGACAAAAGGTAGACACGTGAACGTCGCCTTCCACTGTGCAGAAACATCGGTAGCAGAGCGTGGTTACAAACATCGGTAGCAGAGCGTGGTTTTCTGCTTATTGAGTGTTTATCTTTTTCTTTTTTAACCCTACTTTGATAGTTCAAACGGTTCAGGCGTTGTGGGCGCTTATTAGAGTGGGGCACTTATTACTTCGAATATGGTATTATATATCTGAAAATTCTGGGATGGGACATGATTGATTTATCAAACAGGTTGGTGAGATAGGACATGTATGATGGATCTGATGTTATTTTTGGATAGGCACCCTATTGCCTATGTTAATGTGTATAATAAATTATGGATTATCATGATTATAGCGAAATTGAATAGAATGATCACAAAATGGCCAGCAAGATAAGAGGGATCAGGCAAACTGCAGGACACTAACTTGACAACTTGATCAATCAAATTGCCACATGATGTCATAGCTAATCTGCATACAAATGTAAACAAACAGCATCTGACTGTATCTGAATGGCTGTCAACTCTTGAGATTGACCAAGTGCCTCATGAGTCAGCTGAACACATTTGGGCCGATGATCATGATGATGTCCCATGTGCATATTTAGGAAAAATAACAGCAACTTAGATGAGCAAGCACTCGACAGATTGCAGATGGATGGCAAACTGAACACCATGATGAACACTATGGCAACTATGGTTAAGGCTGTATTCTGGTATTCTGATACTCTGAACGTCCTTGCAGGTGCCAGCACCTGTCCATTGTTTCCATATCAAAGCAATGTCAATGTCCATCAAACAAAATCCTCCGTGTTACCCTCCGATGTTGGTGAAATCAAAGCCCAAGGTCGAATGACTTCACATGATTAATAGTGACGTAATCCACTGTTCATGACATTTTTGTCACACTGACGTCCCTTGTGTCCTCCGTGTTGTCACAGGGATATATTCATGCTAAATTAAATTCTCACTATCTTAGCTATGAAAACGATGCCATAATAACAGTTAATGGCAGACCTCAGGCTTCTGCAAATGATAATGGCCTAAGAAATAGCCTAGCCATACAGGAAAACTTCATTTCTAGAAGCGACATTTTTATATTATGACAGTCTTAGACTTTAGCTTTTTTCTATGTAGATCCAATGTCCATTGTCAGATGCTGCCGAGAGGTATCCCATCAGAGTAAAAGACAGGTAATGGTAATTTTAAATAGCCCCTTATCTTAATTTGCTGAACATATTTTCATGTACACTGTGACCAAATGTCATATTTGTAGAGCCTTAGAAGGCAACAGGGATGATTATCATGATTATTATAAAAGAATGATGTAGACATGGTAAAGTATTGTTATCATTCATGAACCCTTTATCATTAAAATCAATGGTCCCTTGTCATAACATAAATGTTTAATCTTCAATATTAAGGGGAGTCCAGTTGCAAAAACATCATGAGCCCTCAGATGACCTTAAATTTATATCACTTGTTATCTAACCAGTAATCTTGAGACAAAGTTTGTCTTTTTCCCTAATTTCTTTTAGACAAGTATGGATTTAAAATTAGCTGAAAGTCTTGTTCAATTCTTGACAGTATGGTGATGTCTTCAAGACCATGTTTTACACTGAAAACACACAATAGGTTATACCTGTACATATTAAACCCTGCCATGTGTAATGGACTCTACTAGCCAACAAGCGTTGTCCCTAACTGGAGGCAGTCATATCATAACAGTTATCGTGGTCATGGAGTACACTACAATCAGTGCTTGCATGCCCAACACTCACCAACATCACTGACATTTATGAAATACAGTACCAAAAGAAAACATCGAAATGATACTCAGCTACCTAGTCAATATCCATGAGTTTTAGGTTAGGTGGAAAACAGCTGATCAGCTGTCCCACACGATTCAAACATGTTCTTACCTGATTTTGGTCTCCCTCAATCATTTTCTTTTAGAAGAAATCTTGAAGTGTAACATGTAAAATCCAAAGTACATATGTCATGTTTCCTCAGCAAACTTCAGTTCAAAATAATATGCTCTATTTCATGCCTGGGTCTCCCCGAAGATTTCTTTGCAAAAATGCGCAAGTCTGTGCACGATTCCACAACATGTCCTATCACGTGAATATAAAATAGAATTAACTAAAGCATGCTTTGCAATTATTACAGACTCTTCTATTTATCTTCCTTCAAACCATAATTTTGCGAGAAATCATGTATAATTCATATCCTAGCATTAACTAATCAGAAATGATATGACATCGCGCCATTTTGAAACAAATGTTGATGCCACGGACCGTCTATATACACGATATCGTGCAAATAGTGGACCAATGCCGTGCTATATACACGACTGGAAAACTCCCTTCTCCGCCGTGAGACGCGAACGCTGATTGGTCTATTAATTTCCTACACACAAACCTGGTTCCCGGTCTCAGTTGCGCTACGCTACATTGTACATTACTCCCCAAAATGTTAACTCTACACTATAGTGCGGACATCGTTTCTAAAGAAATATATCAAAGATAATAAAAATTATTTACTTGTTGTTAAAATTGTAATTTCTTCTCTAAACATCTGTGAAGATATAAAGGTTTGCTGAGGTAGATAAACCAGGTATCACAGTTAGTTAAAAGTTTTGCAGTCGTACAGACATGTTGTGAATATAGAGATCATAAATATTTGGAGTAAACATACTTTACCAAATGAGATACTAGTTTAACGAATCAGAATATTTATAGTTTAGTTCTGTTGAACCAATTAAAATCAAAACATAATTTCCCCTCTTAAAATACTACGAACCTTCTGGTAAAACAAAATTTACGAACTTTCTGTAAAAGAGCAAGCAATCTGAAGCAAGCATCTATTTTCCCACGATTTCGTGCATATTATGGTAAATGTTTCATTATTTACACGATATATCGTGTTAAAGTTCTGTTATTTACACGATGTCGTGCATATTGTGAGAAATTGTCTGTTATTTACACGATGTCGTGCATATTGTGAGAAATTGTCTGTTATTTACACGATATCGTGCATATTACGAGAAATTGTCTCTTATTTACACGATATCGTGCATATTGGGAGAAATTGTCTGTTATTTACACGATATCGTGTACATTGTGGAATATGTTCTCCTTATGTACACGATATCGTGCGAATAGACACAGCCTTGATGCCATGCATCGTCCTCGGAGGTTTGTAAGGTAGACCCTGATTGGTCACAAGCAAAAAGAAATACCAATGAAATGTCTTAACACAGTTTACCTAAACCGGATGTTTACATCACATTTACTTTAATAGTGGTCAATGATTCCGTAAGAGTAGTAAAAAGCATTGGAGCATAGATGGCGTTCCGAAGGAGTGAGTATTGTTTTACGCCGCTTTTAGCAATATTCCAGTAATATCACGGCAGGGGACACCAGAAATGGACTTCACACATTGTGCCCATGTGAGAAATCGAACCCGGGTCTTCGGCGTGACGAGCGAACGCTTTGACCACTAGGTTACCCGAACGCCCGCGTTTTGAAGGAGTAGTGGAATATATATATGAATGATATTGTATGACATAATAAACACTTTACTGTTGGCAGAAAAAAATGTCTTTCTGGGCGCCTGCCTATACCCTTAAAGACAATAAACAAGGACTAAAGACAATAAACAAGGAGGGCTGTCGGGTAACCTAGTGGTTAAAGTTTTCGCTCGTCACGCCCGAAAACTCGGGTTCGATTTCCGGCAAGGGTACAATGTGTGAAGCCCATTTCTGGTGTCCCCCTCCGTGATATTGCTAAAAGCGGCGTAAAACCATACTCACTCACTCAATAAACAAGGACGCAAAACCATGAATACGATGCTGACCAGACGACGGACCAGACACTCCAGTGACTGACATCATGAGCATCTATCCACGCAATTGGGACACGATGACATGCATGAACAAGTCAGTAAGCCTGACCACCCGATCCCGCTAGTCGCCTCTTACGACAAGCATAGTCGCCTGTTACGGCAAGCACATTCCCATGTTTCATAATTGTATCTATACATTATACCTCCCAATAAAGTGCCCGATTCCCAGCACAATAAACAGAAACAGGGTCGTTTCACAATTGTTTTTCCAGAGATGATATAACATCGTTCACGTGATCATCATGATGTCTGAATAATTGTCCGAAAAATGTTTGCGTAACCCATTCTGTATCATCTATTAAAACGGTATAATTGAAAATAGTGCGACTATGCTGTCAAAATACATTGTATAGCTCAAGTTCCAGTGATTTGGGCTTCCATCCCTTCGTCCCTTCAACGCAATGAATGCGGGCTTGCAATGATGGGGAGGGGACAGTGATTGACAGAATAGACATACATGCCTTGCTAAAAGCGTCTCCAATAATCCAATTGACATTGTTGTGTGATTTTAGTCACTTCGCATTACAACACAGAAGCTAATTAATTCAAAGAACTAATTAAGTTACATAGTTTATGCCCTTAAACGTTTCAAAGCCGGTAGATTAAAAAGAAGGCAATATAGAAGTTACGTATGTCGACAGGAATTCGTAGCTGTACACAAATGACCTTTTTTTTTTATTGACGTATGTATTCTAAGAGGCCAAAATGTTTGAATATGTACGAGCAGATATTCAGGAATTAAATATATGCATTGGATGTATGTTTTCTTTGTGATTGTTAGTGATATATGTTTGGCACATTTATAAATAAACTGCAAGTGATTCCATGACATTTGATTGGCTAACCAGGCAATGTTTGGAGTTTATGTTTCCATAAACCGAAACGGTCCACTGTTTCCTGATTGGTTGATAATAGGGTGGGCGGGACTAATAAGGAACAATGTCGTTGATTTCGTATTGTTGTCTTCATTTTTTAAAATTAGCAGTGGTTATTATTGTTGACTTATTTGACTTGCAGCTGACTTAAGCATATTTTTGCGTTTATGGAGGTATACACGTAAAACCTGGTGTTCACATTTTAGTTAAACCCATAAAAAGATTACACAGTGTGATTTCACACAAGAACTCGATATTTATACGTTCTTTAATAAGCTCCACTCACACACGCGGTTTCTAAAGTTTCTTTAGCCATGGTAGACTATTTACGATCTTCCACGAGAAACCCTTTGCTTTAGTGGACAAAAATGTGTCTTAAAAACTTCTATTACTATAAGCATAACACTGTATGACAAAGAGGTTATTACCGTCATTTGTTTCCGTATCATAAAAATCTAGAATTAGGAATAAAAAAGCTATGTATTATATGTTAGCTCGCCACATTAAAAAAATTAATTTGCGAATCTATATGCATGACGAGTGTGTGCTTGTTGGTCTCAAAATGTACCCAGCTGACCCCACCTATTCCAGAAAACTGTATACCTGTATTTTGTGAAACGTTATGAATCCATCTATATGTTTTTACAAACAAGCACATAAGTAATTGACATATTTCAATTCCTGTTTGAAATTATATTCACAACTTTTAAAACCTAGGGGCGTTATAGTAATAAGTTATAGCTAAAATGCCATGTTTGTGGTCACCAAAATGGGAATCGTGAGATGACAATGAGGACTGAGGCCAAAATTAGAGAGCAGCCTATTTATATATTCCGACCGCAGTTACAAGCTGGTGAAAGTTATCACAACTGCTTCATTGATCTGGTACTAATACTCTCCTTCGGAACTACACTCAACTGAAATGAAGTATGGACACAGCAGATGCTTGTCAGTATCACATGACCGTCTTCACGTGATTTTACAAAGTGTTTACTTGCCACACCAAGGGATGATCTGGATTAGAATGTAGAGAAGATTACATGCAAGCGTTGTATCAAGTTGTAACGTAAGTGGTAGGATGGCTGTCATGACTCTGGACATCGCTCAATTTGTTAACAAGAACTGATAGATTGACAGTAAATAACCGATCATTGATGGTTAACCAGGTTTAACCGGCATAATGCATTACTTTATGAATAACTTTATGATTTGTACTTGGACATACATCCAATGTTATACTTAGAACATGACAAGGCACGAATAATTTCATCTTAGGTTGGTTACATCAGAAATATTGTCAAAATTCACTATTTCAAAAAAATACTATTACCCACTGGTAGTAAAAATTGAATTTAGTCAATAACTAATTTTATCTTTTGAGATATGCTTGTCATAACCATCCATGTGCTGCTGATTTTGACCACATGGGGAATCAGGGTCAGTATAAGTCCTCAGTACACTTAGCTTAGAGAGCAGGGATTCAAATTACAACTTTCAGACAAAGATACATAGAGGATGAATACCATGTTGTACTTGTGTGTTATGCTTATGGCAATCTCAGGAGTGTGTATATACCTCCAAAATACTACTTATATCCAACATTACCTAAATTTAACTCATTAATGTCTTCAAAATTTTTAGAAACTGTTAACAATCTTGCAACGTTTGTATATAAGTCAATGCAACGAAGACAATCATTCGGGCGAACAATGTATATATGCTGTTAGCCTCTCAAGCAATGATGTAAATGTAGAATGGGCCTATGACCTCTACTTCTTTATGAATAACGATTGAATTGAATTGAAATTACAACGTTCATGATTGAAATAACCAGTTCTCTTCTCCCCTTGAGGCCAACACTCTCATGTACAAATTGAGAATGGCTAGGAGTATGAGGACTTGATGTCTTCCCTTCCCATCTTAATAATCAGGAAAACATCTTTTCCAGCTCACATGTCTAAAACTAAAAGTTAATTTATAACCTTGTTCTGATTTCAAATCTCCATATAGAAAGGGCTCAAATATGAATGTAGATCTTAGCAGAACTCGTTGTGAAGAACCATTTTGATTGGTTGCTGATTTTATGCTCAAGAGCGAGAGAAGTTCTGTGCATAGGTAGTGCCATGACAGATGGAGCAGGTGACATCACTTCTGAAATGAAACTATGGCGGCATATTGGTCCAGGGTACTTATCATAATGGCATAGAGATATATTACCCTGAATAATCAAAGAGGGGAATATCCTGGATGGGAATAGTTACTGTATTGTTGGCTACTCTTCATTTTGCACGAAATGTGATGGTGACACAACTGAAAGATTTTCTAAATCTGAATTGTTTTTTATTTAGTTGGATATAGTTTCAGTGTTTTTAACCAACTTATGAAAAATATAAGTCCTAATTACATATATATTCTTCTCCGACTGTAGGTCAGCTATTATATGAAACATATCCACCATGATAAAAAATTCATAATAATACTGTATAATGCACCATGATAAATGATGACATGAATTTTCTGTTATTAGGAAACCATGAACGCCATCATTTCATTGTGTCATTTCTGTGAACTTCATGGACCCAGAATCTTGTTCTGCACTCAACCCTTTCGGCCGCAAGAATCCCGAAATGAGCTGGATGCGGAAGACTCCGAATCATCATTTCCTCGCAGGGTTAAGTCCCCTTCACTGACTGCTGACTCGCACAACGCGACCCCATCACTGCCCAGCATGAAGAATGACATGTGTGAGGTAAGACTAGCAGACTTCCAGATTCCATATAGCTGTAAGACAAACATGTTGTGATGCGGACATTAATTTGCATCTTTTATCAGCTTCTTTGACTTGTTGCAGGGTTGCTACTCAGTGCAGCCTGGGTACGTGAGCCATGACGAGGAAGCCCATGTGAGCTATGTCAGCACGCAACATCCCTACCATCCGCAGGTGTTCAGCCGCATCAGACAGGCTTGTATCAGGAGTCTGAGCTGTGAGGTACAAAAACATATGTAACCATGGTAATTTATAGTATGGTATGCTGCAGGAATAGATTGTTGTTAGAAAGTGGTCACTGTTAGGGCTGGGATGGGTAACTCGGGTCCCCGGGTTAGGTGGGTACTGAGTAGGACCCGGATCCCCATAGGACTACCCGGACCCGTGGTTAGTCATGTGATATATAGTTTAATGACAACAATAATCTAGAACTCTATGGTTACACTACAAGTCACTAATGTTCGCATTTCTTTCTGACTATGCACCCATTCCTTCTGACTTTTCATATGGTTGAATAAACAGTGTATGCATGGCCAGATCGTTTAATACATGGTTCTAAATACGTTTTGCAAGAGCTATGGTAAAAGAATGTCCAATCGGACATTTTGTACCTTCTCTTGAGGTGAGGTGAAATTGGGTTTAACGTCGCGTCCAAGATTATTGCACTTATATAGCGACGTGCATGCACGTGTATGTGTGTGTGTGGCTGCTTGTACTAGTCCGGACTGATGCCGATTTATAGTGCTAGCTCACTGAGATACCATGCCGCAGTTTAACATGAATACCCCACTCAGACACAGTATACTGACTCCGAGCCGACCAGTCCTTGTTTTAGCCCCTTAATGCCGAGCGCCAGACAGGGTAACAACAAGTACAATCTTTTAACGTCTTTTTGTATGACGCGGCCCGGGATCGAACCCCGGACCTTCCGCTCTCCGGGCGGACGCTCTACCACAAGACCACGGAGGCGGTCCCTTCTCTTGAGACCTACAGTGGGTACCCGGGTAGGGTCGGGTAATAGGGGGGTGGGTACCCAGGTAGTAAATTTGGACTCGTCCCAGCCCTAGTGAATGTTGAATTAAATGGATGTACAGCCATATTTGATTTTACGTTTTTTTCGTTGTATCAAGTTGTAACGTAAGTGGTAGGATGGCTGTCATGACTCTGGACATCGCTCAATTTGTTAACAAGAACTGATAGATTGACAGTAAATAACCGATCATTGATGGTTAACCAGGTTTAACCGGCATAATGCATTACTTTATGAATAACTTTATGATTTGTACTTGGACATACATCCAATGTTATACTTAGAACATGACAAGGCACGAATAATTTCATCTTAGGTTGGTTACATCAGAAGTATTGTCAAAATTCATTATTTCAAAAAAATACTATTACCCACTGGTAGTAAAAATTGAATTTAGTCAATAACTAATTTTATCTTTTGAGATATGCTTGTCATAACCATCCATGTGCTGCTGATTTTGACCACATGGGGAATCAGGGTCAGTATAAGTCCTCAGTACACTTAGCTTAGAGAGAAGGGATTCAAATTACAACTTTCAGACAAAGATACATAGAGGATGAATACCATGTTGTACTTGTACATTTTGTACCTTCTCTTGAGACCTACAGTGGGTACCCGGGTAGGGTCGGGTAATAGGGGGGTTGGTACCCAGGTAGTAAATTTGGACTCGTCCCAGCCCTAGTGAATGTTGAATTAAATGGATGTACAGCCATATTTGATTTTACTTTGCTTTGGCATACCGGAAGTCTTCAGAGAAACAAGTTTTTCATGTTGATTGAGTTTGGTTCCCGACCCTTGCTAAAATCTGCATGATTTGCCCTGATCATGATCCTGGGTCTTTCAGTGTTTTATCATGTTTGTGAGTTCACTAAGTGGTGAATGTCTGTGTCTCTGTGTCTTTGGGCTTTCCTGAACATTTAGGTGGCACACGTATTGAACTGAAGTACTGTTCAATGAAGCACACTTTGAGAGGGCCATCAATCATTTCATAAACAGCATTTGTGTAGGCTTGATGTAACAAAACAGGTGACTGTACAGAGTGTACTGGAAGAGAGTGTACTGCTGGAGTGTGCAGAAAGGGATTTCCCTTGTGTATTAAGTCCACGTTACTTCAGATCTTCCAGTGTTTTAGTATGACTTGATGACTACATTTAAACTCAAGTTTAATTATTACAGGTGTGCCCAGGGAGAGAAGGCCCCATATTTTTTGGCGATGAACAGTATGGCTATGTGTTAAGTTACACGTTCTATGTTGAGGACACACAGGCTCGGGGACTGCAACGTTCCTACAGTATCGTTATTGTTATGATGGACAAGATCTATTTGTTGAACTCGTGGCCTTTTCTAGTGCCACATTTAAAAACTTTGAAAGAAAATCTTCAAACCAGAGCACACAGAGTATACACAGAGGAACAAACAAAATGTCCGCAGACGACGCTGCGACTGAACCCCACCATCAACCCGGCTAACTTTATCCAACAGAGGGGAGGCAACAAGCCTGCCCGGTCACTGGTTGAACTCACAGGTCACAAGAATGTGTTTAAAGTGCTGCATTTCTCGTTTATATGGATCCTGAAAGCTTGCGGGAATCGGATGACAGAGACTTTGCTGGAAGGACCCCCGACAGAGGATTCCATCATCGACATGGAGAAACAGGAAGGTAAGACATTGTAACAGGACACTGGGGATCAGAGATGAATACAGATAGGTATGGATGAGGTTAGTTGTTACCTGATTTGGTGAAATCAAAATGGTACATTTCAGGTGAGAAAGTGGTTGGGCATTCAGGAAAAGGTGGGTCAGAACTAGGATGCTCAAAAGGCCCTATAATGCACTGTGCAGAGTTAAGCCTCTTAGACGTGTCATGATCCTGTGATCGAGGGGTTTAATCCCAGGCTTGCCTTGATTAATTACTTGGTTTGACAGCACCATACCCATGCTCGTGTGTTTCACCAAAGTATAAATGTCTTACGTCATCGATCTCAATTGTGTGGATCAATGCTCATGATGTCAATCACTGGATTGTCTGGTCCAGACTCGATTATTTTACAGACAGCCGTCATATAGCTGGAATATTGCTGAGTGTGGCGTTAAACAACAAACAAACAAACATCTGAGTTATGTCCCTTCGTAGTGTCCAAACTATGTTTAAAGGATCTCAGTCAGCTTATTTTATTAATAACAGTGATTATCCCAGATGACCTGTAAGAGTTATGTTGATAGTTAAATCTGTATATAAGATGGAACAGGGCAGGTTTTGCATGTATGGGGAACATCTCGTGACAGCCTACTGCTGTGTTGCAGAGACGGAGGAAGGTTTCATCAAGCTGTATTCTCGAAAGATCAGTGATGATCTCTCCGAGCAGGTGGCGTCGGAGGATGAGGGCTGCGTTGGCAGTGATGTGGAGCAGGAGGACATGAGCAAGGCGCCGTTCATTAAAGACTTGAGACTGTTTCGCAAGGTCAGGAGAGCAACGTTTGAATCATTTGAACTACAGACAGGAATGCTATATGGTGTTATATTCACAGGGGCTTGTTATACAAAAATAGCAGCTACAAATATTGCAAAAATGCTTCTTGAATAAGAATCAGCATGTTAACATATTAAAATTTACCTCTTGATTTGGTTTTGGAGAAAATCCAAAATATGCAAATTAGAAACAAATATCTAGATTTCTTACATTTTTGCACATTTCATAAACTATCTAATACTTTTAGGCCCAAAAGGGCCCTTCTCCTATGTCTTTATTTCAGTTTTGAGGAAACTGTTTTGAACTTTCAGGCCCTTGGAAACAGCAAGTTCCACACCCTGGCTCACCATGTACTCATCGGCAACCAGGTGATCATCAGTGGTGCCGAAAAGTCACAGGTCAAGACCATTCTGGCAGCTCTGAAGGTAGGATGATGGGAAAACTAATCTCTCCAAATTGAGGTGGTAAAGAAATTACGCCAAATTGTTTTTAGAAAGTTGAAGAACCCACACATCTATCATACTAGACTAAAAGTTCTGATTTTGATGAGATTGTACAAATACTGTAAATCAAGAAATAAATATAACCACTGAAGTACTCTTCCTCACATTAATATTAACACTTATCTGGACATGCTGGAGTTAGATGTTGTGTCAGGTTCAGTGCACAAACAAGAAATAATGATGTATACTGAACAAAAATAATAAAGATCATGAATAGTTTGGGGATATTTTTATGAAATTGGGTGCTCAGTCTTCACTCTACACAAAATATCCCAAAAAATATTCATGATCCCTAACATTTTGTTCAGTAATCATCCAAGCTCCCAATAAACAACCACGAAGCACTGATCTGTCTGGCCGAGACTAGATTATCAACAGACTGCCTTGTGATAGCTGGAATATTGCTGACTGCAAAAAAACACCATTTACCCTGTTTCCCTAAAAAAACAGTTTGTTTTTGTGTTTTAGGCTCACTCTTTGTGTTCTGTAGATACTGCTGAAGAACTGCTAATATTTGCATAAAACCTCCATCCTCAGTGCCACTCAAACTCATACACTCACTCACTCACTCATGCTGCAGATGCTGCTGCCAAAGGGCTGCTGTCGGTCCATCACATACAGCAACATATACGAGGAGTCCTGGCGCTGCAACTTCCTCGGCCTGGCCCTCAACGTCCCTCTTCCAAATCACACGATGTCCACGGAGATGTTTATCCTTGTGGAGGTGCTGAAGGGCGAGGGAGAAGCTACCCCCGACAGCTCACTGGAGTCCGAGAAGTCACTCTCAGACAACTGTTTCAGCAGCTTTCATTACCGCCTCAGCAGCCCCGTCCAGCTCCCTGAGAAAGGTGAGTTTGGCAGCCACTTTAGCTTATGTTGATCATATAGTGTATTGCTCTTATCTGGGATAGCCTTCTTCTTTGGAATCAGGGCGGTTGGGTAGCCTAGTGGTTAAAGCTTTCGCTCGTCACGCCGAAGACCCGGGTTCGAATCCCGACATGGGTACAATGTGTGAAGCACATTTCTGGTGTCCCCCGCCGTGATATTGCTGGAATATTGCTAAAAGCGGCGTAAAACCAAACTCACTCACTCACTCACTTCTTTGGAATCAAATCTAATGGCACATTTTAGGGGGGATAGATTTAATTCCTTAATAATCTGTACCTCCAGGGGGCTCTCAGGTCGTCAGTCATCTAAGGCATTGCATTTCGCTGTGCAGCAATGTGTCCCTTGGGGATGCCAGAAACCTGTGATTGTGGATTTGAATCCCGGTTCGCCCCAGTTATGTTTCTAATTTTGTCAGTATCTTACCCGTGCTCGTGGGTTTCACCAAAGTCGTAGAGACCTGCATCACATTTGTGGTTTTCTTGCCACATTAAGCTGACACATTATGATATACCCAAGTGGGTAAGTGGAAAACTGTTCAAAGTGGTGTTAAATCAAACTCGCTCACTCACTTTACCCCAATATGAAGTGAATAAGAGAATGATGTTTTGGTAGTTAGACCCATGGTCAAGAACTATTGGATGATTCATTGTGTGACATGGATGATCTTTAACTCTCAGATCACATATCTTTATGCCCAGTATTGTTTCAAGTGTTATTGTTAATGACATTTTTCTATTTTTCCTCCAAGGCTAGTGACATGACAAGGGAAAACCTTTTTTAAAATTTGTATGAAAAATTCATTCAGGCGTAATTCTTTTGAAAATCACTGATACAGGCTTCAGAGAGTCAAACTGTTCATATTTCAGACATGTATACTCAAAGTTGGTGTCAGTTCAGTGTAGCCTGTTGTTGCTTGTGTTAGTAAAGGTCACAGCACTTATTGCTTGTCATAAGAGGTGATGAAGTTGGATCAGGACAGGATTGGCGACTTGGTTGATAGCATGTCGTTGTTACCCCCACTGCATGAGTTGCTCACAATATCAATCATTGGTTTGTCTTGCAAGACCTATTTATCTACACGCTGCTGTCATATGGCTGAAACATTGCTGACTTGTCTACAGCGAGAAACAAGCATACTGCCGTGAGTAGCGTGTTAAGTAACCTCCTCCTCCTCCTGTGCCTGCAGCCCCCACCGTGCTGCAGAAGATGGAGATGGCCCTGAGGAACGAGAACCTGAGCGAGGAGGTGGTGGAGCAGTGCTTCATCTGCATCAAGGAGGAGTGGATGAAGTGAGTACAGGGTCCCTACATCGCCACCGAGTCCATACATATCCACACAGTCCATACATGGCCACAGTGTCCCTCATAGCCACAGAGTCCATACATGGCCACACTGTCCATACATATCCAAAGAGTCCATACATGGCCACAGTGTCGCTCATAGCCACAGAGTCCATACATATCCACAGAGTCCATACATGGCCACAGTGTCCCTCATAGCCACAGAGTCCATACATATCCACAGAGTCCATACATGGCCACAGTGTCCCTCATAGCCACAGAGTCCATACATGGCCACAGTGTCCCTCATAGCCACAGAGTCCATACATGGCCACAGAGTCCATACATATCCACAGAGTCCATACATGGCCACAGTGTCCCTCATAGCCACAGTGTCCATACATGGCCACACTGTCCATACATATCCACAGTGTCCCTCATAGCCAGAGTCCATACATAGCCACACTGTCCATACATATCCACAGTGTCCATACATAGCCACAGAGTCCATACATAGCCACAGAGTCCATTCATGGCCACAGGGTCCATACATCACCACACAGTCCATACATAGCCACAGAGTCCATACATAGCCATATTGTCCATAGTTAGCCAAGGGGGTCGGGTAGCCTTGTGGTTAAAGCGTTCGCTTGTCACGTCGAATTCCCAACAATGTGTGAAGCCCATTTCTGGTGTTCCCATTGAATATTGCTAAAAACGGCGTAAAACCATACTCAATCACTCACTCACCCACTCACTCACTCACTCACTCACTCACTCACTCACTCACTCATAGCTAGCCATGTAGTCCATAGATAGCCATTAGTCCATACAAATAACAATGAAGTTTTTCCAGCTGATCACTTCATTCTTATTTTCCTTTTCAGTAAGGTGAAGGTGTTGTTTAAGTTCACCAAGGCAGGAGGCAGTCGGTCAAAGGAAGACACAGAGAAATTGTTCAAAGTCGTTAACGCACAGGAGGAAGACAAACAACTACTCAAATTCTGGATGACAGGCCTCAGTGTACAGTATCGGACCCACATACTGGCATCCTCCAAGAATCAACACTGAAACATGTGATACGATATTGTTTCTACCATCGAGACCTCAGTGTACAGTATCGGACCCACATACTGGCATCCTCCAAGAATCAACACTGAAACATGTGATACGATATTGTTTCTACCATCGAGACCTCAGTGTACAGTATCGGACCCACATACTGGCATCCTCCAAGAATCAACACTGAAACATGTGATACGATATTGTTTCTACCATCGAGACCTCAGTGTACAGTATCGGACCCACATACTGGCATCCTCCAAGAATCAACACTGAAACATGTGATACGATATTGTTTCTACCATCGAGACCTCAGTGTACAGTATCAGATCAACAGAAAGGTTCAACACTGTAATCGAAACAGCGTCACGAGTGAAGGCTTTTACCACTAGGCTACCCGACCACCCCGGAATAATACTTGACACCACAAGAAAAACCAAAGTCACTCACTCATTCAACCCAAGGTCATCACTGAAACTGAGGATGCAAAATATGTTCCACCCTATTGAGTTGAAGGCTTAGGTCATGACAGGCCTCGTTGTATGTTATAATTCCTATAGTATCATCTCCCAAATCACAGCTAAGTCAATGTCCATCCAAGTCAAGCTTGCATAATACAGGACAATCAAACTAGAATTTGTTTTACCATTGCATTTAACCTGATGTACAGATCTGTAACATATTGTTTCACTGCGTAGTCAATGTTATTACTGGATTGACAGTCTAATGTTAAACATTGTCCCATCTCAGTCACCTCAATCAGCGGGGGGAAAGGGGGACACAGGGGGCCTAGTTGTCTGAGGTGCCACAAATCCCTGTGCAGAGTTGTGTCCCTTAGGCTTGACAGAAACCTATGATCATGGGGTTGAATCCTGGATTCACCCTGATTATGTTTCAAGGTTTGTCAGCACCATACCAGTGCTTATGGGCTTCACAAGAAGAGAAAAGGATATCCAGTTTTGTACCCACCTTGCCTTCATTTTGTTTGTTTGAAATCTGTATTTTGAATGTTGTTATTAATGTCTTTCCCATAAAATGCACCTGTGATTTTGTTAGATATGATGTAAATATTTTTGGCTCTATACAATAATAAAATGTTACGAGTTTTGTTGTAGTTCCTCCTTTGCATAGGCTGTATGTGTGGTCAGAATGTTGGTACATTGTTTGTTTGTTTGTTTTGTTTGTTGTTTACGCTGCACACAGCAATATTCCAGCTACCGGTATATGATGGTGGTCTGTAAATAATCGAGTCTTGACTAGACGATCCAGTGATTGACATCATGAGCATCTATCAACTGGGATCGATGACATGCATCAACCAAGTCAGTGAACCTGATGGTATGCAGAATAATAATTGTTGCAGGTTGATGGAATATTGTTGACCTTGGGCAGTCTATAGTTCTAATTACAGAAACTTGTATTGCTGGCACAGTGTCTCATCTGTGTTCCCTGTGCAGTAGGAGGTTGTTCCCCACTGTGTTGTATCATGTGCCATTGAAACGTATCAGACTGCTAAACTTATCCGTTACATAGTATCAAACACATAGTTTGATGCAAGTTGACTGAATATGAACCCATTATTTACAGCGAGAAGTGATGGTGTTCTCAATACACCAGCAACATGTTCCCCACAATCATTAGTAGAAATTCTATTTTACAAATTTATATTTCCAGGAGGCGACTTGATGGTAGGGACACTGTTGATACTACGTGTTTACACAATCACATCATGCACTGATCATATTCTATCTTTAATAAGTACTTATGTAACTTGGGGTGTTTCCTGTCATTAAGGGGCATTGGGGAGCTTAATGGGTAAAGCGTTCTCTCTTCCCATGTATAGGTACACTCTATGAAAGTCCACCTTTGGTGTCCCTGCCTCGATAGTGGAAGGATACTTCTAAAAGCACCATTTAAATCACTAATGAATGGAAGGTGAACCATTGTCAATTTGTTCAAATTAATGGAACACATGTCCAATACATGTTGACAGATCTCTTGTAACTAGTGAAAACCAACCATTGTTAACAAATAACGAAGACGTGGATATTGAACTGAAACAATTGTTATTACCACCATTAAAAAGGACTGAATTACATTAACATTTGTTTCTTCTGAACAGTTTTGTAAAACGACCAAAGAAAGATTTTGACTTTTGTACATTTTGTTTCTGATTACAAGTTTCTATTAAATTAGTTGTGCTTGATGACATATGTTTCTTTGATGACAGACTACTTTGAGAGAGTTCATGATGTCTACTTTGAGAGAGTTCATGATGTCTTGTTGACCCTTTGTCTTGTTCACGAGGCATGTCATTCTTTGATTGAACAATGTGGTCAAAACACGTGGTCTGTGTAGCCCCTGACCTCTGGACAAGCCCTACACCCTCTCCCTCTCCTGAATGTACACGCAGTCTTTCAACTCTCAACATGTCCACCTCCTTCACCAAGCGATCCACCTGCTCCCTGAGGGAGACTTTCTCCCCCGAGAGTTGTCTGGCTTGTCTCTGAAGATGTTGGTTCTTCAGTTTCAGACATTGGGAACGGAGTCGAGCATCTCGTAGGTCAGCCCGGAGAATGTCCACATCAACCAGGACAGCCGTCAGCTGCACGTGAAGGTCGAGCTCTTTGCCAAGTTGTTTGTCCTTTTTACTACAGTCCCATTGGAATGGTGGCTCGGGACGAATAGGTCTTGGTTTTATTGTGACGTGTTTGGGAACCAAATTGTGGAACTCTGAAAACGCAATAATCGAATTTAGTACATAATCAATCAATCCAATTAACCGGGGGTTACAACAAGCACATTTGGAAATAGGGTCCTTTTGGATCAATCCCTTGAAATAGGTCAAATTACAAGTTTCTAGTATGCAGTCACAGGTAATACCACAAGGATCTAAACAATGTATTTGTAACGTTCTGCGCCCACTTCGGCCAGGTTCAATGTCTGCGCTCGGATTTTTATTTATTTTGTTTTTTACTCTTTGTCCCATTTCCAAACTTGGCCTTTCCCTTGTATTCAGATTACTGCCCATGGTCTGCTCTTTCCGCAGATACCATACTGTTAGCGGTTTTTGATATTGGTCTTGGGGTAAAAAGGCCTACTGATCACTGAAAATCACCGAATATTTTGATTTTTGCACACCTTCTAATGGCTATAAAGTCATTATGTTGGTGATTATTCATTTATTTTACTGATACTGTCGAATCCACATTTCCAAGAGCTTTCAATATATCTTAAACAGATTGTAAGTTTTCCAAAAAGGGTAACATGACTAGCCCCTAAGCATTATGGTCGGAAACGTTTGGACCCGGCGTGGACATGCAGATGATATACATCTACCGTATAAAATGAAGAGAATGGTAGACATAAAGTGGTTTATTCGGAAAACGTTTTCAACTGTAAGAATTAAAGTTGGAGAGTCGAATGCTGTTATGATATATAACGGCACATACCTGACGGTTCTGTACGTGAAAAACACTCCGCCACCTCGGAATCAAACCCCTCACACCCGGACACGGTCAGATGCCTGGCGACTGGTTTTGGTTTTATTGTGACGTATTTGGGAACCGAATCATGAAACTCTGAAATAGCAATAACCGGATTAAGTATAGAATCAGTCCAACTGGCAAGACTAAATCAAATATCACATATGGGTGAAAATCTCAACACCGTAACAATTTCCCACTTGACCTGTACATCAGTAGTTTGTTTGCAGAAATGTATTTTAAAATATTTGATTTCCTTTTCAAGACTATTCACAAGTAGATTACCTTTCTTCAAATGTAAAATGCTAAAAAAATGTACTTTCAAGTTAATATTTCTTTGTTTATAAGCAAATATTTTCTGGATTTACTAAAAACATGGCTGTCCCTCAGCTGGACCAGAATAAAAAATAATACCTAATCTATATCTTAATATTCTAAAAATGTAACAAATTTTGTTTTTCACACTCTCAAATGACCATTAATTACATGTATCCTATCATTATTATCTAAAACCTAATTGAAAAAAAAATAAATAAGAAAAAAAAGATGTCCCTCAAAAGGCACTCAACTCCGTTACAACGTACCAATACTAAAAAAATAACTGTGCTATGGGAGATAACTCTCATACGCTTCCTCTTTTGGCAACATGTGTATGAAGTTCATCTGCTGGTGATAGATAGATGCCACATTTATGTACAATGTTCAAGCCAATGACATCAAGATATGTCTGTTAAGTACAGTATGTTTTCTGAGCCTCAACTCTGTTACACTGTCTATAGATCTATATCTCATTCTAATTTCCTTCACTTTTCCAAGAGAAATTTGTTAGCAAGACCATGTTAGCAGTGAGTATTTTAATTTCCATAAAAAGCAAAGCATGCTGGGATATGAGCCATTTATAGTAAGGTTTCTCAACTCCGTTACACTCAACTCTGTAATGCTGTACAGCGTAACGGAGAGGAAAAATTTGTGCATCTGCACAATTTCGATAGTTATTGTCAGTACATAGCTTTGTTCTTCACGAATATTTTATTTTATTTTAACCCTATACCTGACAAATAATTTTCCCAGTCTGGAGTAAGAACTTTTTTTTTAAATAGTCACTCAGACTGCTCTGATGTTTTGGATGAACAAGATGTTAGGACCTGTGCAAAATGTGGATTTGATTCTATTGATAGCGCTCTTTCCGACAGTGGACTAATTATTGAAGACAGAACTGTTGTCTTTTACATTGATGGGAGTGCCTGGCTATTGTGTTTTGGCTGCAGAAAGCAATTTCATTATGCATGTATAAACAACATATTTTCTGACAGTGTTGATGATATGATTGATCTGAAATTTGATCTTGAAGTTTTATAATATATTATAGTGATCTAAAATGGCATTTTAAGCAACTTTGTGCTTATTTATTTCAACGTCTATACAAAGGGTTGAACATTAGTAATTTAGTAGACCCACTTTTGTATGCCATTACTGCAGTAACTGGCTCATAAACCATGAGTACCAAAGTCATGACAAGTAACACAACACAGTGCATATATTTTCACATTTCATCTCAAAAGGGATGAAAAGGTTGTTATTTTATGCTAGAGAGCAATAACAAAATATATGAGTTACAACTCCGTTACAACAAACTCAACTCTGTTACGTCAGGATTTTTTTAATAGATGACTTCTTTTGACAACTGACGAAAAACTTTGTTGTTTTTATGAGTTTTAACTTAAGATTAGGACTAATGATAATATATGTTGTGACAAAAGATGAAAAATACTATATTTTGGATACCGTCTTTCATGTAAATGACTTTGTTGTCTAGGCAAACTTTTGAAATATGGAGCGAGCACTTACAAATGTCCAATCATACATTTTATTTAGCCAGTTTGCATTTGTTTAACACTGAATTGTATTCACACTTAATGTTAATTGCTGAATACGATTTTATATTTCAAAGCAACCTAGCGCTATTAAAATTACTTTCCATTTTGTGATCCGTAACGGAGTTGAATGTCCTAGCAGATTAGGCTAATTCATTAATTATTTTCTAATTAATTAAACACATCACTGCACTGCATTGAAATAGAAAGTACTTCTCAAGTATCATATTCTCTAATATCAAGAGAAAAATTATATTAGGGACACTTTTATTTTTGCAAGTTGATATCAGAAAATTTGTCGGTTTTGAGATTTTTACCCATATACATCTATGGCATAAAATTAAGGAAGTGGTGCAAATGAAGTGGTTGATTCTGAAACCCTTTTCAATTTAGAGAATTGAAGTTGTAGAGTTGAACTCTGTTTTTACATATAAATGCATACACACCTGTCGGTTCTGTACGTGAAAAACACTCCGCCACCTCGGAATCAAAGCCCTCACACTCGGACACGGTCAGACGTCTGGTGACTGGCATAATGCTTCGATAATCTCGATAAATGAAGAGAGTACTGCAGTGCTGCTGTAGCTAGCTGAGACAATGTCAGACAATGGCGTGACATCACAATATCGCCTAATGACGTCATAGTGACGTCTAGTCGGTAGATGTCGCTGTCCGTTCGGCGAAAATACCTTCGGAAGAAATCGGCATATTTCGTCTTGAGTGTGTTCCGATTGGTACACAGCCGAAA